ATACTGACTTAGGCCCCGCCCACAATGATGACGTCAGGACCTAGTTGAAAATCACAGTGCACAGTTGCTTAGGCCAGCTCCTCTTTGTTTTTCCTCCGTGAAAACAACACACCATTTCACCTTTTTGCTCTGATATCACTAACAAAAGACGGAAAGATATAGTCTGCATCTCTACACATGATTCAAAATACATCTTTTCACATAGATTCTCTACTTTCCTAAGTCCTTTCTTATATAATAAGTTAAATAGAGTATTAGGTATTTATACATTAAACTATTTTAACTGTAGAACTGTAGTATTTAATTATTTGCATAGCCTGACATACGAGCAGACCGAAGAATTACTTCTTATTTGTAAATAAATGAACGTAACTCCATAATTTACATTTACCAACATTTATATAACGATTACTTTAAGTTCTGTTTTAATTAATTTGTTAATTTATTAATCATTCAATGTATTATTTAGATCATAAAAGCCTGAAATACAGGTACAATTTTAACTGTAACCTAGTTCAGGCATCCATTATTTTGTACTTTATATTGTTATTAGTATTATTATGCAATGTATGACCTTATTTGAATAAAGATATATTTATTATTATTATATTATTATCTAGGAAGAAATTAATCAAGGGGTTAGAGTAAATTAAACTTTGACAAAAAAACAAGTAGATATAAATTTATATATTTTATAGATGTTTCAACATATGTGATTTTTTATTCTATGAACATTAAACTACTTTGGGGAATGTGGCTTAACCTGCTAACAAATATTAATCGTGCGTATGCGTAAAAATGACATTTCGCGAGTGTAAGATACAGGATTCGCTTGTTTTGTTTTGCATGTCACGCACACGTTTAAAACCTGGGTTTGTTTTTATCGCAGTGTTTACAAGGTGACGGTCTATCCAGAGAGTAAATAATCAAAGGTAAAGATAGACCTATTATCTGTTTAATTAATACAAAACTTCTCAATATAAAAAAAACAGGTAGTTAGGCGAAAAGCTGTATAGTAAGTAGATTGTTTAAATAGTACTTCCTTGTTAGAGGGGCTCTAACAAGGACAATAAGTCTGTATTATATTACACTTACCTTTTATAAGTAAGCACAATACAACCCAACGTGACAAAAGAAATCACTGGTTTAACTAAATAGGGGAATACAAATAAACGGAAATGCAAAAAGACCTTGACCTATTTGTCGTAGGTATCTAGGTACAATGACGTAATCATTTGGTAGTTAAATCACATTACCGTGGTTAAATATACATAGTTTGATGACGGGCGTGACGTGAGTAAGTAAGCTGGAGTAAGCTTAAGTATGATATTTTATTTTTATACAACATATTATATTTTGTTGTCGAAAAGCCTTTGCCATTACAAAAGCTCAAAATGATGCCTAACAAAGATATGGCTGCACTCATGGAGGTGGCACTGGAATTTGATTTCATACAATAATAATAAGAAGGAATATAAGTTTATCTGGACCACTATTCCTTCCTTCATATGGAATCGCTCTTTGCAACTGGATTGCAGATTTTCTGGAGGGCAGATCGATACGAGTGGTCATTAATCACTGTCTGCGCATCGTCGGATCTGCTTGGTATTAATGCCGGTGCCCTCAGGGATCTGTCCTCTCCGCGAGTCTATTCTTGCTGCACATCAATGATCTGCTCCTAACTCCCGGTATCTTTGGGTATGCAGACATCACCACAGTCTCGGAAAGATATCTACCTGATATGAACTCTGTTGCAGATGCCCGATCGTTGAAGGAGGCGATGGTGGAGGGAGTAAATGCAACCTTGGAAGCTGTTTCCCTCTGGGGTGAAGCCAACTTGGTTGGATTCAATCCCTTTAAAACACAGGCCTGTTTTTTCTCGACGAAACGGAGTCCATTCCATCTGACTCCAACTTTTCAATATGTTTCCGTGCCGGTTAAAGACCATCTCGAGCTCTGCTTGGGTCTTGACATCTCATCCAGGCTCAATTTCGGTCGCTACATCGACATTCAAAAATATTTCCGATCTGAAATTCTTCTATGAAATATGTGCATTGTATTCTGCCCTTTAAATAATTATGAATCCAGTCATATGCCTTACCTCTAATGCTATATAATTCAATCATTTTTAGTAGTATTGAGTGGTCAACAAAATCGAACGCTCGCGACATGTCAAGAAATAAATAAATAAATAATAAATATTTCCAACACTCACACCAATTAGCCTAGCCCCAAAGTAAGCACTGTAAGGCTTGTGTTATGGGATGCTAGGGTAACGGATAGAATACATATACGGTACATATATAAGTATATTTATATAGAAATACATATTTAACATCCATGACTGGAGTACAAATGCTCATATTCATCACACAAACATCTGCCCCCACCGGGATTCGAACCCGGGACCTCCCGAGTCGGCGACACCATGAAACCCGGCGTACAAACCACTCGACCACGGAGGTCGTCAAAATACTGACAATACTGGTATATTACGATTAAGATTTTCAGTAATACACTTAATTAATTTAAAACCGGCAAGTGAAGTTGATCTTCCTTTACGAAACCCACACTGCTCTGTTAAAATATCATGCTTATCCAAAAAAATATTTATTCTACAAAGAAAAGCTTTTTCAAATATTTCTGAGATAATTGGTATTTTAGTTGTAGGTCTGTAGTAGTTATTAAGATCGGACCTGTCACCTTTTTTAAAAATAGGTCGAATTACAGACAGCTTTAGTTCGTCAGGAAAAATTCCATCAACAAAACTCAGGTTTATTATATGTGACAGAGGCAAAGAAATATTTTCACCAATGGACGACCAGCCACGGCGAGGGCTTTCACCCTTATGTTGTCGAAGTTCCTCCCATTCGCACGCAGCAATTTGCTTCCGCTTTCATTATAGGGAGTGGAACTCCTTGCCGAGGTCTGTTTTCCGGACAAATATAATCCGGACATCTTTAAGACCAGAGTGAACAGGCAGACGTGTTTCATCTTAGGCCTTATCATCGCTTCGATCGTAGATCGAACACAATAATAATTTTCTCTAAGCCGAACATGCTAACCACTTGCGCCTGAGATTTGGACACCCGTTATCCATATTCCCTAAGGAGGTTGGATTTGCCAATTTATATTTTACTAGGTAGCGGCCGCCCGCAAATTCGTCCCCGTTAACTTAAATTTATGTTTTGGAGAATCCCTCAGGAAGCTAACATTTTTCCGGAATAAAAAGTAGGTATATGTCCCATATCTGATTTTAATATTAATAGGTTAAGGACAGAATGATAAAGCCCTGAGCACGACTCCAAAAAATTGCTATTAAAAGTCAGAAATGTCATGGAATTGTGTGTATGATATAAATAACTATAAATTTTCAAAGATTGTTAAAATAATAAATTCCTTAATGGTTAGGGTTATACTAGTCTAAAACGGTCTAGCGAATGGTGGACGGTATTTACGTGTCGGAGAAATGAAAGTCTTTGAGAGTGCTTCATTGCCGCCTTGGAGCATATAAAGTTTTGTAGTAACGGCGCATCATGATATCATCATGGGGCCGCGATAAAAAGAAAATTCAGTTAAATGCAGAAACATCATATTTAGCAGTGGTTGAAATTAAGGAAGTAACGTCGTTTTAATAAAGAAGTTAATAGCTGACGCATTTTATGTTTATCTTCACTCCAAGTCCAGGATGCTCATTACATTTTGTACTTACTGCACTAACTGTACATATTGCTTTTACGGCTGCACTGCACTCAATGCTTCTGAAGGGGAAAGCTAAAGAGAGAATAAACAAAATTAAGCCTATTGTTTGACACGGATGCCCGTGGCGCTCATAATATTGTCAGTCACTGCATCATAATATCAACAGTCACTTTATCGAAAACGCTCCATTGACCGGTTTATGAATCGACCGTACCCAAATCGATGGCACTACATTGACAGTACACCAAATCGATAGTACCTACGCTATATCGATAAACTTCACTTTAATGTAAAAATCATTGGGTTAGGTTAGTGTCGTGACCATAATGCGGGAGCCAAGCGAGCGAAGCGAGCGTGCAGCGGTAGCAGCCGGCGAAGTGCCAGAAAAAAATATTCGTTTATTGTACTGTAGCTATCACGGAACATAGAATATTCTGTCGTCGATTTAGTGAAGTATCGACTAGGTGTACTGTCAATGTAGTCGAGTGGAGTGCTGCCGTGAAAGCAATATGTGCAGTTAGTGCAGTAGGTACAAAATTTAACTAGACTTGGAATGAAGATAAACTTAATATGCGTCAGCTATTAACTTTTTTGTTAAAACGTCGTTACATCCTTAATCGCATTTATTGATATTATGAATTTTTTCTTCATTATCTTAGTTGATATTATGAATAGACCCGTCTAACACAATGGGCTTAATTTTGTTTTCTGAGTTGAACTCTCCTCCGTGAAACGACGACCTCCGTGGCCGAGTCACGTACACTACGTCAAGGTGTCGACTAACCCGGTGGGGGCAAATGGTAGTATGATGAATAAGATCATTTGTACCTTAGTCATGGATGTTTATTATATATTTCTATTATTATAAAAATACTTATATGTATCAAATTATATGTATTCTACCCGTTACCCTAGCGTCCCGTAACACAAGCCTAACAGTGTTTACTTTGGGGCTAGGCTAATTGGTGAGAATTTTAGATATATTTATTTAATTAAATATATACAAAACCATAGATTCCATGAGTATCTGTAGATGGCTTTTGCCGCCACTCGCAGACTGCCACCCCGGGCAATCTGTTTTGGCCCTACACACTAATAAATGACAAAGTGTATTTGTTTGTGGTAAGAATTTCTCTGGGATTACCTACTGCTCAAAATAATAGCTTATAATAATCTGACACTAACCAGATAGATTTTAATTTTCTTAAGTCAAGGCTGCATGGCTTTAGTATACTTTGCCTATCAAAAGGGAGAATATTAGAAAAAATCCCTCTGACAGTGACATGACATTTCAATATCACCAATTTTGCTGTCATATTTTTGTGGATATTTCTTACGTTCTTGTTGGATCATTTTCGTATTTTCATATAATTCGAAACTGTAGTAGGCACATGCTCTCCGTTAATTCAATTTCATTCGGTAAAGTAGGTAGAATCAAGAAAAATGAACGTCTATGTGTAGTTATCTAACAAAAATTAATAAATATAGGACAAAACCTTTTAACCCGAAAGGTGAGTTTGTCGAGTTATTGACACTGGCTTAAGTTAGGATTATACTTATTGCGCCTAATTCTTTATCTGTTAATTGCAGACAAGTATTTTTTTAAGTAAAATGTTTGCGAGTCTGAAAAGTAAAATTAAGGAGGAGACAGGGAGTGACTTGAGTAGATTGACTAGTAGTTGGCGGAATGGTGCCCTTTTAGGACGAATGGGTCTTCGAGATGATTCGGTAAGCTTTACTTAAGTTATTAATTATGTAAATCAATTAAGTAAAGTATATTAAAACTTATGAATGCCTGTGATAAATATTGATTTATTTTCAGTCTACAGCTAGTCCATCTAGTTCTGGAGGCCCTGCAGAGACCCTTTCAGACGTAAGTAATCAAAAATATAAGTATATATTCAGTTCAGTGTAAGTTAGGTGTAATTCATTAATGATGTCTGCTATCCCGATCTGAATGCTGATCTTCTGAACAAATTGGATCGTCTCATCAACAATGCCATTCGTTTCATCTTCTGCCCGCGTAAATTTGACCACGTATCGGCGTTCAGATCTCAACTTAGATGGCTTCCTATACGTCAAAGAAGGCAGCAGAGAATGCTGTGTACTCTATATTCTATCCTGTTCAACCCTCACTCTCCAGAATACTTACGATCCAAATTTCAATATCTTTGTGACTCACATGAACTTCAACTTCGTTCTACTGATACTCTTGCACTATCTCTTCCTCTCTTTCACTCTGGCTATATGTCTGATTCCTTTGCCCTCCAATCTTCACGACTCTGGAACAGCCTCCCTGACTCCGTTAGAAGGTCACCTACTAGGTGCAGTTTTAAGAAGAAAGTTCATGAACTTCTCCTAGAAAGCTAAGAACGTTAAGTTTAACTCACAATTTCCCTTCACAGTCTCATCATCAATATATTTTATAAACGGTGTTAATAATAATTATGTCTATGTATGTGTATGTATATATATATATATATATATATTATAAATATTTATATAAGTAATATATTTAAATGTATTCTATGCATGTATATTTAGGTTTATTTTTAAATAAATATTTATGTAGTTACTTTTACTGGTGTATGTTTAAAGTAAATCACTTTTTTTTTATTATTATAGCCGCATTCGTGGATTTCTTTATGCCTAAAGGTTGACTGGCAGAGAATGCTTTTAGCGTTAAGTCCGCCTTTTGTCCATTTTTGTAATTGTGGCAATAAAGTTTAAATAAATAAATAAAATTAATACTTTGTTATGTTCAGTTTACCAAATTTGCTTATAACTTTTCCTTTAACCAATGATGCAATGTAACATCAAGGTTATATCGAAACAATGTTAAGATTCTTCAGTAAAAACAATTACATTTTTAATATTGGAACAGTAGCCCAATAACTTTCCCCAAACAAAATTAACTAAGAATGATATAGACTAAGTTAAAATTAGCTGTTCTATCCACATAAAATTTTATTTTTTACCTTTCAGTCCTTATCACCTCAGCTAGAGTCTTACTTAACAGACCATATAGATCATGCTACCCTTCAGCACCAGTATTCTTCACAGCTAGAAGAAAAGCTTCGAGAGCGAGATGCCTTTTGGCAACAGAAGATTGAGGAGGTGAAGAACTCCCTATCAACCGCTCAAGGTATGTTGCTTTACTCTTAACACCGTTCAAATTACATCTTTAGATTACTATATAGGGTGAAAGGCAGGAAGCAAGAGTACAGTAGGTTTTCTACCTTAATAGGGATGACGCATATAATTCAAATAAGTCTCTTTTTATTTATAACTTAACAAATATTACTTAACAATTATTCTTTTTGAGCAAGAAATTAATGATATAAAAGGGTGAAAAACTTTGGGAAATTTAAATATTTTGAAATGTGACAAAAGCAGTTGTGACGTAAAAATGTAACAAACACAATATTCACAGGATGTGCCAATGTCAATGAAATAATAAAGTAAGTGTGTAGATGTCAAAGCCGCCTTCCACCTAGACACTGAGTGCAATTTTTCACTATGACATTTAAATTTTTACCATAAATGTATGAAACAATTTGATTAACATTGGTTTTGACTGCTATCCGCAGTGAAGGTATGGAACGTAAAATGCTAGTATCTTGTAAGGTCATTGATCTTTTTTGTAGGTTTAGATGTATTGTGACGTAAACTACTAAATAAAAATATATAAAACTAGTGGCCTGCCCTCACTTCGCTTCAGTGTAGAGCTCTAGTGTAGGTAGACTATTGGTTTTGTTCTCAGGCTTGTAAAATTCTCGTGTGACACCCTGGGTTATGTTATCGAAGCCTATTTAGTACAAACAAACAAAGAAACAACTCTTTCCTCTTTATAATATTAGTATAGAAAATCTCTGTTAAAGCTTATTTATTGACTGTAAGTGGTAAATTTCCACCAGCATTGTCTTTTAGTGTTGTATTTTATTTTCTCTGCTAAAACTAAGCTTGCTAGAACTCCACAGGCTTGAAAATTATTGATTATAGTGTTCAGTTCCATAACATTGTGGTCTTTATTGCATGTCACTTTTGCTGTAGCATGTCATAAGATGGGTGACCAAAACTTCTTCATGCTTCTAAAGGCACCAATCAGCACTGGGCCCAAATCATGAGTTATGGCTTTGCTTTCTCTATTTCTCATCCAATTGGGTGGCCTGTGTTCCAGCAGTTTTGTTTCCCAACATTAATAGACTGATAGTGATGATTCATTTGTTATATGAGACAAAAAAAACAAGTGTTCTGGGTGCAAATGTCTTGTTATCTAACTTTACTTCGTTATTTATGCATTCAACCTTGAGAATAAGTGACAATGCTCAACTGACTTAGTACAAATTCACTGAGTGGGGTTATGTATTTGATGTTTAATGTTGAGACATTTCATGGTTAGTGAGCACACAATAAATAGTTGAATTATCATTAACATATTTTTTCCGTTAAACTTACCAGGGGGCCTACCGCCTATCGGGATTGCTATAGCTATAGCTTATGATTTCATTTTGATATTTCAGACCGCCGAAGGTTTTCATATAACTGCATGCAAAAGAAACAAAAGAGTGCGAGTTATTTGAAAACCTTCGGCGGTCAGTACCCCATTGACATTTCGGTTTGCAAACTATTCGAATTCGATAATGGTTCGTGCTAGGGGTACAGTATACCTTAGTACGAGTTATACAATAACGAAAACTATCATAGTTTTCGGGAGCTCGCACAAACTGTCAGTTTACCTCATCAATGGTAGTACAAGTTAATTATTTCGAGCATCGTTTACACGATATCGTCCATCGTTAACTCGATAGTACGAACTTCACGGTATCATATTTTCACCTCTCTTGTACGCTTAGAGAGTCTAACTATTAACGAAATTAACTTATACTGCCGGTAAAAGTTCATTACAGTTTCCGCTACAGGCGCTGGTGTGAAATGTATGGAAACAAAACGAGACGATCATAGTTTTCAAAAACTATCAAAACTCGTACTAAGGGTATAGAAATAACAAAATAAAATCATAAGCTATAGCCATAGCAATACCGATAGGCGGTATGCCCCCAGGGTTATTCTGGTAACCTTGTTATTCCATTATACAAATGTTGAAGGTACTTACTAAATATGAATCAGAGCAATGTGATGTAGTCCAATATTTATTTAATTTACAAGATAATAATAATATGTGCATTTTTATGCGATGACATGTTTGTTTCTTTCTATTTTGGCCTTTTAAAGTCCAATTTATTTATCCATATCTAAGAATATTAACATAACAGTCAGTCTTCTCTCTGTTAGTTCTTTGATTACTTGCAGTTTAAACGGGTTGTTCAAATCTAGAAGACAGCTGATTTAATGGTATACAATATTTTACAATATAAGTACATCTCTGAACTAATAAATATTGATTAAGTACTAATTGACTTACTTGTTAAATTATTGTTACTACATAATTCAATGTTTTAGTCTAGCTAGCCGATATATCGCTTTATCATATTTTATCCCGTTTCGGTGGGCATGCTTCAGGGGCTGGTATGGGTAGCCGCAAACTTCTTGAGCAAAAGCACAGACAGATAAACTTAAAAAGTCTACTGCGCAGACTTTTTTGTTTATAAAATTGCTGCTGTGCAGGCTTCCTTGTTTATGGTCGGTGCTCAAGAAGTATGCTGGGGTGTATATAATAGTATAGATTATGGTATTAGGAGAGGAAGCAGCGGCGGCTCAGGCAGTAGCTCGGGCTGCTCAAGCGGAAGCAGCGAAGGCAGCCACCGAGCGAGATGCAGCGGAGAAACAGTTGACCGAACTACGCGGTCGAGTCGCTGCATTAGAACGCGCCCAGGACCGTCTCGATGCTCTCACGGTTCGTATTTTTAACCTTCTAACTTTTAAATAATGCACGGAATGTGTGTTAAGAATGTTAAAAAACCTGTAGTCGATTTGGAACTATGAAATTAACTGCCGATATTTAATATTAATTGAACAGTTTTGTGTGATGAAGGAGGGGAGCTGCTGTGTGTAAACTATTAATTAATATTTTTTATAGCTTACTCATTTAAGCTCACTTATATTTCGTAACTAATTTTTATATAATTTATATAAAATCAGTAGTTTATTTGCAACAATAAAAGAAACAGACAATTTTTTGAAAACAAAATCGGCCAAGTGCTGCAAGTCGGACTCGCGCACCGAGGGTTCCGTACAAACCTGTAGTATATTTTAATAATTGTTAAAAAACCTTTTTTATTATATGACGTAACTAAAAATGTACGGTATTCGAAATTTTTCCTTTATCTGTACTGTAAGACGTTACTTCGTACCAAATTTCAAGATTCTTAGTTCACAGGAAGTAACCTGTAGGTTTTGATTCCTGTGCGAGTTTCGAAAATTTGCGGCAAACGGCTGTATCTTTTGATTGCTTTGGCTTAGAAGTTTGATTTTTTCACTGCTCCAAGGGACAGTAGACCTGAGTATTAGATATGAATTTTAGTTTAATACCTCCACGCGTTCGTGAGAAAAACGGTCTTGACAGACGGACGGACAACAAAGTGATCCTATAAGGGTTCCGCTTTTCATTTTGAGGTACGGAACCTTAAAAATGATCAATTATGATTTTGGTAATTCTAATTGAAGGAAGAAAGGAAGGAAGGAACTAAGAGTAAGGAATTAGATTACGAAAGAGGACGGTGCTTTTTGAAATTCATTTTGTTGCATAGAATCACGGAGTACCCCCACTAGAGTCCGCATCACGCAAATTTTGTTTGAAATCAAAATCGCCAAAGTCGGTGGCGTGCAGGGAGATCAGCCGCGTTGTGATTGGACACGTCAAGGTCAGATGATATACTCAGTGCAGCGAAGTGATGAGGGTAAGATCGATTTTAGAAAATATCGATATTTTCTATCGATAAATAAAGGACACCCGGCATTATGTGCCAAAGTTGTATACTTTTTTAATTTTTTTATCTGTGTTTCATAATTGGGTAACGTAGTCTGGCAATATTTGTCATCAGCAGCTAGCTGTCAATGTCAAATACGTAGGTTTGTCAATATAACCTCTATATGTAGCCGGGTCGTCAAGAGAAATAACGGATAAAAAGGCGGGATAGGATGCGAAATGCGAATGATTTTTTTGTTTGTATTTTAGGATTGTCAAATTGACATTTGGTTTTTTATTTAGAAAAAGCAAAGGAATCATGGTTTTTACAGTCACTTGAGTAATATTTTCAAGTAAAATTCTGTCCCTTGAAGATTTAGGGTTTCCATATCAAAAAACATTAATCATTATATAACTTCTTTCCACGATTCACTAAAAATAAGGCAAAATTAGTTTTATGTAGCAAATAATTTTGGCTTCATTTTGAGACCAAATTCAACTGTATACAAGTTTAGCATTTTTTCTATGAAAAGTGCCGGTTCTCCATTGTACAGAGGCCTAGTACTTTGGTGCGCTAGTGTAGCTATGCGCAAACATACTCTCTCCACTTTCTTCCAGCGTTCTAATTACATGACGCGACTAGTAACTACATACTAAATAAAATATAAGCAACACAAAAAACACGCAAAAAAATATCTAGATAGACAATAATATGCTGTTTATGACAACTTTTAAAACTTACGGCGCCTTACTCATCGGCTCGGTACAGGTTCGTTTTGTTTTCGGGAGTGACTGTCAGTGGTAAAGTGACGAGAACATATGTAACTGTTTACAGTTGGAGTCCAATCTTTACGTTTAGTTGCACTTATCCAAAGTTCCTTCATCTTGGCACATTTTGGAAACCTATGAAATAAATAAAACACGTAATGTTACTGTATTTTGATTCTCGCATCAGTCTGTAAGAAATCACCTTAAATATCTCTTTAAAGATTTTGCTCGTTGCTGTTCTCGTGAAAGGCACATGCGATATACAGACTTAATGAATTTAATATTAATACGGTGACGTCCGTGGCTCTTGACTTAGCACACGCAAAATAACCTAAGTATAACCAAATTATTGATTTTGAAGGAACTTGGTAAATACTTATCAAAGTTTATGCTAGCTCCCACCCGCGACTTCATCCACGTTAACTTTAGTTTTTTGAAAATCCTAAAGAAACCTGACATTTTTCCGTTACAAAAAGTATTCTATACAACGATATTTTATACCCTAGATACGACAACATGTACAAAATCGTAGCCGAAACGTGACCAAAAGGTACATTTGACGATTCACAGAGGTCCGTAAGATGATCGCGTGGTCAAAAACAATGTAATGCATTATTTAAAAAAAAGTCACCTTTAATGCATACGGCATAAGCTCTTAATTAAAACGCATGCATCAAAGATTTATGGCAGTTCAAAATGCAAGTTCCTAAAATTTTACGACTTATTGTTATATGCGAAAGAAAATAGACCTTATTTTTTTTAACTTTTCGCGCTCAATTCTGAATGTGCTGTTAGCTATTATAGCAGGTACAGACCGCGAAGAAAAAAGACGGCTATAGGGCGACGTATAACCGACCATGCTTTTGAGTATCACAAATATGTTATATTAAATCAGTTTATAGTAAGTATTACAATAAAATTTGCTTCAAATGCGTTAAATTTATAATAATAATAACGTTTATTTGGCTCAAATTATATAAATAACTTATTGTATTACATAAAGATGACTATGTACCAAATTATAAAAACATTAATTAGATACCTGTCGAAAAAACAACACTTTACGTACTATTAGTATTTTTTTCGCATTTTTACGGAGCTCTGCGGCATTTTGACTTTTCATCGGTCCGCGCGTGACTGTAAACCAAAAAGTGCTTGAATAAAGTTTAAGCACTTCTTGATTGGGACACATTTTGAGCGATCGTGGTCTATCTAGGGTATTTAATATCGTTAATTCCATGTCTTTATCTAGGTCATAAAGTATGCGCACTTAATTTCATACAAATCGGTTTAATCGTGTAATAGTAACAAACATCCATACAAATTTTCGGGTTTAAAATTTTAGTACGATATGATTAAAAACTGTTGGTTGTATACTCATGATATCTGTTATTGTATACGATGAAATAAATAGTTTTTATTTATTTTTTCTATTTCCGTAGCTGACAAACTTATCGATAAACTTACGGGTACAGACATGAGCTGCGTCAAGTCACTAGCAATACACGTGCCGGTGTGAGAGCGGAATAGCATATATGATGTAGCGCATGCGAGAAAGGGATAGTGTTATAAGACATCAACGCGTTCACCAAAAAATAAATACATTTAAAAGCAATTTCATATAAGAGTATTTTTGTCTTTTTGTAATGCATTTAAACTTACAGGTGAAAAGTAATACCATCTTTTTGAAGACTGGAAGTTTTACTTCACTTTCCACATAATTTAATTGCACAGTACGGCATTTTTTCTAGTTTTTTAACGCAAAAACGAGAGAAGCACTTCTGCTAACGCTCGGCTTCGGAATGAAACGATGTATAGCGACGTCTGTGGGCGTGTCTCACGCATACGTAATATACTACTTAAGCTTGGCGTAAGCGCTTGCCCTTGTATGCGGACTCTAGTGGGGGTGCTCCATGCATAGAATAATCGAATTTTTATCTATTGAAAATCGTCTTTACAATAATTATATGGTCGTCTGTCTGTTAGGAGGAATTGGAACAAGCACGTCGCGAATGGGCTCGAGAACGCAGTGATTTGACTGCAAGCGTGAGCACGTGGGAAGGGCGCGCGCGGGACCTCGCCGACGAGGTGGCTCTAGTGCGCGCCGTGTTACCGCCTACGGAGCCGCTGCATCGCGTGCACGACGACGGTCAGTACTGAAGTCACTGTCATCCAGCGCGCGCTTCACTCGCCGACTACGTGACGCTAGTGCCCGCCGTGTCACCGCCTACGGAGCCACTGCATCGCGTGCAACTATACGTCATCTAACTTCTAGACTAACAGTCTTCAACGGTTGGATAGCGAAAAACCCCCATGAAACCCTTAGTGGCCCTTTTGAGGAGCCAAGTTGGTGTTTTTTCAAGTCACGTTTGTGGTATCAAGCCTTTTTTTTTAATGAAATGAATGGGTTTTTTTTTCAGTTTATTCAATGGGCTTTCAAATGACACCAATATTGGTGGGGGTACATGCGCGTGTTAAGGGTTAATAACGCTTGAAAGTTATTTTCGCAGAGGTGCAATTTTTTTGACGCCGAAGGTAGATAAAATCCTGTAGCGATTACTCTAGAAATACCTGGAATATTCCAGGGCTTTGCAATGAATTAGGATTTCTCTGCTAAGATAAGCACTAGCTCACCCCCACCGGATGTAAGGATTACTACCGTGTATGCCTCTCTGTAGGAGCTCGATGGTGCAGGTGGTTGCGCGTTCGGCCTGCTATCGTATAGGTTAAACAACTTTCTCACTGGTCGGTCATTGGATGGATGACGTAAAACTTAGTATCTCGCGCTCCTCCGTGCTTTGGAAGTCACATTAAACCATTGGTCACGGCCTAATCTCCCTATTCCATCTATGGGGAAAGCCTGTGCCCCAACCGCGGGAACATTAATAGGCTGATGATGATGCCTCTCTAGACTAAAAGAGGTAGACTAAGAAGTTCCGCCTCTTTTATTCTACAATCGCTTGAGCTCGACCATTATCAACTCTATAAGCTAAGATCAGGTGCAAGCGGTTATAACCTAAAATTACCGGACTAAATTATTTGACTTTCCACGAAATAAAGCTTAAAGGAGAATGGGCAAATTCGCCTAGATTGCGCTTGACGCATTTATGTATCAAAAATCTTCTTCTGAATTATCATTTCATATGTGTGTTTATTATGTAAATATTATGCGGATATTTAAAATAATAAATAAATGGCTATTAAACTGAGTAAATAACCAATAACCATAGATAAAAGTTGTATCACCTGGTCGATACTATCGTAGGAAAAAAAATCGATTATATTTCTTTATTTAAATATTCTTAACATAAAAAAACGAGTGTGCTTATGACTAGACAACTGAAGTGAAACTTCTTTCATTTACTAGCTGTAAGAGAAAAAGAGAAAGAAAATGCGTGCGCGCGCTCTTGCTCCTCAACTGTGATACAGACAATAGGCTTGCACTGTGCTTAGATATACGGAACGTATTTGGCTATGAGAGGAAGAGAGAAAGAAAATGTGCACGCGCACTGCTTTCTCATGCTTACATCCCCCACTCAACTCCCGTTCGCCTCGCCCGATCACACTTTTCTTAACGCTTACGTTCGCTAGCTTACTCCCCAAGTCAAGAGTGCGTAAAGAAGTTTCACTTCAAAAAGAAAAAATAAAACGTTTATTATAATTGAAAGCATAGAACAATTAATAGCCTGAAACATTTTTACCAAACACCGTAAATGACTACGAAATAATGATCATTCGTTAATTCGTAGTCATTTTTTATTTTGAGGTTTTCGATGCGAGTTGTTTGATTTTTGTATGGATCGATGGATAGATTATTTTCCCCAAATCGCCTATTCAGAGGGCCTGGTTTCGAATTCCGGTGAGGCAAATGTTTGTATGATGGATACGAGCATTTTTACCAATATTATATCATGATAAATAACATTAAATTCATAAAGTTATCATTTGTAAGACCTGTGTTGTGACTATCTCACTGTACCTACCAGGGATTGCTCTCTTTCATTGCATCTAAAAACTAAAAGGAACTTAATGGGCTGCGCAAAAGAGGATTTTTTGCCTGCGGACTATTTTGTTCATCAAACAGTAGATCGCATACAAAAACTTTTATATGTGTACTACATATTCACATCTTAGATTAAAAAAGGGAATATATTTTTGTTTAAATTATCAGTTATGTTATATATAATTACTTAATCATATATAAATTAACTCATGGTTTGAACATTTTAAGCATTTGCATTGAAAATAAAACATTTATTAATCGATTGTGTAGGAATCGATTCCTATATCAAATCGAAATATATACCATAGGCAAGTGAAGTAGGTAGCTGTCAACTTGTTGTCAACGTGTTTGTTGTTTGTTCCGAGTGACTAACTACTTAAGTACAGTTTTCAATTTTGAATTGAATTTGTGTTTTCAGTGGTCTATTGTGGCAGAATAGTTTTAATGTTGAGTTGAGTAATCCTCCGTTAATAACTTTTTTTTGGGAAAGAGAGCATTGGACTCGTTGATTTAGTGTTAAGTTACCTTTAGTGATTCTGACAGAGATATTTGGACTCTTAGTTTATTGTAATTATTTTTGTTTACAATGGCATCTGGTGTTACACAAGAAAACGCAGGCAGTATGCAACGACGTTGTATTAACTGTTGTATATCAGTGCCACGACGACAGCCAGTACATTCTTTGGACATGCTATCCAATTCAATGCTTAATGTTTTAAGCTCATGGATCGCACCTGATTCTGTAAGTAATTATTTACTTATATTACTAAAAATATATCGTTATACAATCGCAACCGTGAGATAATGTTTTAATTTCATTCATATGTTCAAATAAATATAAATATTTTTGACTTGTTATAGATATTGAATGGGGGCATAGTGTGCAACGAATGCTTTATGCTACTACAAGCTAGTGACACCACAGAAGAAGTACCTGCACCACAATATGGCCATCAACAAGTCTGTTTTGGTTGTGGAAAATCCATATTAAGAAGTCAATCGTACAGGGTTTCACTACACTGTCCAGAAAGATGATATTCTTAGATGGAGTCCAGCACATCAGGTATGGTATAAGATATTATTATCAATAATAAATTATTAAAATTGATTTCAATGCTAATTAAAACATGACTGTGACATTATTATTATTTTTGCATTGCATGATTGAAATGTTATATTAATAATAATTTATTTAAATTGATTTCAATACTAACTGAAACATGACTGACATTTTTTTTACATTGCACAATTGTCATGTAGTATATTAATGAAATTGATTATATAATAACTAACTCAATCATGACTATGGTATATAAATAATATATATAGTTTTTAAAGATTGAGTTCTGGATAATACTGCAACTACCTATAAATATTTGCACGTCGATAAAAGCGACAGGTCATGTTGGTTATATTTTTGAGATCTGTATAATTTACCATATCTTGTCAGATAAATGATTTATTATTATTATTATAAGAAATATATTTCTATTGCATAAAATAGTTGTAGATGGTTTTTCATTAAATTCAAGTTCACTTATCTTTTTTTTATAGGTGTCAAGAATTTCAAGAGTTTGTGCTGCCTGTTGGCGAGCAGCTAATAGAAGACAGAGATGAATCGGTCATCAATTGAACAAATTGATGTAGAACCAACAGAGTCTGTACCAGTGATCCCAGTACCACCACCATTTCCCGCTGGTCTATTACCTGTTCAGCCTTCAAGACCTGTTATACCTAAGATACAGTCATCAGTATATAAGCGTGCTGTAGCCACTTCATTGAGTTGTCTGTTTTCAGGATGCCGGGAACAACAATGTTTATTAGTACCCAGAGTAATAAGAGAAATGTTATTAATACATAATAAATTCTATGTTCCCACATGTTGTAGAATATGTCAACATCACTTGAATAATGGGCGTTGGAGTGATTTAACATCAAATCTGCAAGATTTTACTGGTGTACAGTTTGATGCAATTTTGAATATAATGCAGAGAGCAGTTTCCCATTGTTTCGACTTTGAAAATATTTCTGCAATGGCTCCTTTCTTATGCCATTATTGGCTGGGAATGAATGCTGAACAGTTTGATGAACTCTTGGCATGTGTACCAAGCTTATTACAGAGTGTCAAAAATCCCCGTTTAGCACTCTGTATTTACATAGTCAAGTTAAGAACTGGGGACAGCAATGAACGATTAAGTTCCCTCTTTCAAATGTCTCGTAGGACCTTGGAGAGAAAAATGAATATAGCTAGAAGTTGTTTAGTTGAAGATTTTGTGTCAAGACATTTGGGCTTTGGTCATGTAAATGTGGAGCAAGTGGCCAGCAGAAATAAAATAATCCCGGAGGGATTGTTTGGTAATCCAATCTTACCAAATGATATTAAACCCGCTATTGTTATGTGTGACGCAACTTATATATATGTCCAGATTTGTTCTTTTTTAAAAAAAGGCAATATATAAACCAGGATTAGAGCACGCTTAATGTATAAACTGCTGTGTTAATTGAACTTAGCAGAGCTTTAACTGGATATTTCAAACTCAACAGGACATGGTGGCGAGTTACAAAAGATATTTTAGGCGAAGTCACTACAGTTCCACTGGATACGGCATAACCTCAAAAATATAAAATAAAAATATCACATTAATAATGTCGATTTGGATAAATGTGTTATCAATAAATGATTATCATTATTAAAATATTTTGTCTTATTTATTTTTGATTCCTAAACCTTAAATAATATTAGATCCATTGTTGGGTTAACAGAGCATCAAAGGTGCAGCTTGAGCGTAAAGAGAATAAGTATAAATAGCACTAATATAACCGCACCTCAACAACGCCACATTTATTAAATCTGAGATGTTTGGAATAAATAGAGATAGATAGCAGCTCACCAACGCAACAGTTTACAAATATACGCTGCCCGTTGATAAGATTTTACGCAGCGTGTGCATTCAATTTTTGTTTCACTCCCAGTCCAAAATAGAAGACAAAAGGTCACAACCTAATTAAATACAGTTTAAAGTAGTATACCTAGTAATAATTAAGTATGGTATAAATATCGAATTTAATCGAATCTACATATGACATAACCTTAAAATGCTTACGTAATTTAATATTTTCTTTAAACCACTACTTAAGTTTCTAATGATATTTTTCCTACGCAATATACACCTGATTCCCTATTGTTGTACACTTATTCCAATAAGACGCAATGAAAAAAACTTAGCCCAACTCCCAAAGTAAAATGACCATTCTCCTTTTTATTTAAGTTTCACTTATATATTACATTGAATACATATTTAAACATGAAAATTACCTTTGAAATATAGATTAACACTCGCTCCTACTGGGTGCGAGGATTACGACCGCGTATGCCGCCAGAGGGCTGTGCTGTCGCGACAGTTGCAGGAGGCCAAGATGGTGCTCGTTGACTTTAAGACATCTTGGTCTATAATCGCTTGAGCTGCGTTATCAATTCTATAAGCTAAGATTAGGTGCAAGCTGTTATAACCAAAAATTACCGGACTAAATTATTTGACTTTCCACTAAATAAAGCTTACCTTTTTTATTTTAGATACACACTGGTGTCGATTCTAGCATGATTCTCTAAACCTAAACTTAAATTTGACAGCAGTATATCCTTGTCATTCTCTATGCAGAATGAAAATCATAAAAAAATAAAAACAAAAATAATTGTCAAAAAAAATGAAGGTTGGACCCTTAACATTTAGGGGGATGAAAAATAGATGTTGTCCGATTCTCAGACCTACTGAATATGCATATTCATTTAATTATTTTGCAGCCCGTACTTTATAATATTTTTTTATTAAATATTATCTGTTTATTATTCTCATACAACTTTCGTGGAATAATCAAATATTTAAAAGTATACAAATTGACTTCATGTCTGTTTCAAAAGGAAAATGTTCCGTTTTATAAAAATAAATTATCAATAAATGTGTACTAAAAATATTTCTGTCAGTATATCGAAATAAACAATATTAATTCTGAACTCCCAAAAACTATGACATATTTGGCCCTTATTTTTATTATTACAAATCACTGAAGGCCTAAAATAATTAGGGCATCGGAACTGGTTCTACCCGGAACCGAAAGAACCGGGAAAACCCGGTTCTGGAAGTATCTAAAAGAACCGGTTCTCAGATGTAAAAACCCGGTCCTAACGATTCTAACGGTTCTTTCGGTTATTATTTTAAATCATTTTGTTTATAGACCAGGGTCGATAATTTTTGAGACCAAAAAAAATTATAGTAGGATGAAACCCATTAGAAAAGGTAGAGAATATAATAAAAATGAAAGGAAAAATAAATTACGGGCGATCTGAGGTCGGGAAGGGGGAGGGGGTGAGTTTTTAAGGGTAAAAAATGGTTAATCTCGATTTCCGGTAAAACTGCAAGTCCTATGAAAAAAAGTTAAATGGCAAAGTTGTAGGTAATAAAAAGATCTACAACTTTTGTATCGACACTTTTTTCACATAACCTCAAAATTTATGTGAAAAATGCGAATAACCCAGTTTTTGGTTTTTGATTTTTATTTTTTGCAAAAAAAAATTATTTTTCACGAAATTTGGTGAAAACTTACCTTTGGTTGTCCCAAACATACAGTAATTTTTTTGATTTAAAATATTCATTTTTTCACCTTATTTTGACTTAATATCGAAAAAGCACCCTTATTTTCAATCGAAAATTCTCACGTCAAAATATCTGCTCTGCGCAATTCATTATTAATGCAAATTAATAATGAAAAAAACTCGGATTGGAGTTTTTTTCATTATTAATTTGCAGTTTCTGAGAACATTTATCATAGTAGTGTATATTTTTTTATACCATCAGAAAGTAGAGATTTCAACAAACAAAAAACACCCCAAATTTTTTAAAAGAGCAGATATTTTGACGTGAGAATTTTCGATTGAAAATAAGGGTGCTTTTTCGATATTAAGTCAAAATAAGGTGAAAAAATGAATATTTTAAATCAAAAAAATTACTGTATGTTTGGGAAGGTAAGTTTTCACCAAATTTCATGAAAAATAATTTTTTTTTGCAAAAAATAAAAATCAAAAACCAAAAACTGGGTTATTCGCATTTTTCACATAAATTTTGAGGTTATGTGAAAAAAGTGTCGATACAAAAGTTGTAGATCTTTTTATTACCTACAACTTTGCCATTGAACTTTTTTTCATAGGACTTGCAGTTTTACCGGAAATCGAGATTAACCATTTTTTACCCTTAAAAACTCACCCCACCCCTTCCCGACCTCAGATCGCCCGTAATTTATTTTTCCTTTCATTTTAGTTATATTTTCCATCTTTTCTAATGGGTTTCATCCTACTATAATTTTTTTTCACTTTTCACCATTTTTAAAATTATCGACCCTGGTCTATTACCCACGCAAGCTCAAAAGTCGCGTATCCAAAGCCTAAGTCTAGTTTAATACTGCATTCACTAAAATTTTTAAGAGAATGTGCATTTCATAACTTGGGACTAATTAGAATTAACGGTTCCATAAATGCATAAAAATGCGTCCAATTAATCCAATCCAAGTTAGATGAATATGGATTACGCTTAGGCACAGATATTGTCGCCCAGACAACCAATGGTTGTAGCCTAATGGTTACATTTGGTAAATATCTGAAGTCGTGCCATCAGTTATGTATTGCTCACGCCATTCAACTGGCAATCATGGATGTTATGTACAAACGCAATGAAGACTCTGACGATGACACCAATTTGCCGTGTCTAGTAGACGACCAAGAAAATGATATCGAAGATAATATGACTCTAGTAGAAATAGCCTTACTTATGCGAAGAGGAGAAATTAGTAACGAAATTGACAATAGCGATAATGACATAGAAGAAAATGATGATGAAGATGGCGCCCATTTCAACAACGAGTCGCTTATTCCAGAATCCAAACCTCAACAGTCATTCAGATATCATGATCTTATATCTAAAGTTCGAAAGTGGTCAAAACCTTTAAAAGGTCTCCCCCCTTTAGAGGTGATGAAATTCTTCGAAAACATATCCAATCTGATTTGATTAATGAATACTGTGAACTGAACTAATTGTTATTAATTTCAGAATTAAAGAATCGATGGTTTTTGTTAACATTGCAATTTTTAAAGATTCTTGTGTTTCTAATAAATAAAACATGATTATTGATGAAAAATATTCATTGATTTTGAATAAGTACCTCATTATTTGATCAACTACCCTTTAAATAAATTACTTACCTCAAAAGAACCGAAAGAACCGGAAAGAATCTGTGTTTTGAGAAGGGAACCGAAAGAACCGGATTTTCTGATCAGGCTTGAGAGAAGGCTGTATGATAATTAATGCTTTGATTTTTGCAAATAAACAAAAGAAAACTTCACAGATTTCATGTCAGGCCGACGACAACAAATTATTTGTATTTATTTTTACTTTTAAAAATATTTTCTGTGAAGTGTTAATCAGATAAATGGGAGGAAATATTCTAAGAAAATGCGAAATTGATGGCTCTGTAAATAATGTGCAACATCTTTTATCTTTTAGCAAGATATTCCGTCTTGGAGATCTCATAATTTTCAAGATTGTGACTTTTCATAGAAATTATAAATATTCAGCCATTGTGCATTATATATTACTAACAACAATATTTATACATTACTAGGGCAGTCGCTCATACAAAATTTTACCATGTCCTTCACGTAAACCGGTCGAGCCGTTGCGGAGTAATTCAATTACGCACACCGTGATACGAGAATTTCATATATTAGATATATTTCATTGAATACATGTTTAAACATGAAAATTACCTTTAAAATATAGATAAACACTCGCTCACACCCACCGGGTGCGAGGATTACGACCGCGTATGCCGCGAGAGGGCGGTGCTGTCGCGACAGTTGCAGGAGGCCAAGATGGCGCTCGCCGACGTCAAGACATCTTGGAGCGGACAGATCGCCTCATTGGAGACGCAGGTTTGTTCTAAATTCTCGTAAATTTTCCCATAATATGCCCTTATTCTCTTATTAAATGCTCTTGTCGGTGGAAACTTTTGGTAACATTTGGTTTTTGTATGGAAATGTTTTTATTTTATTTGGCCAATAAGTAGATATGTGAACCAAATCAACTGCGTCAATTTTATAGCAGAGTATTCGCTACTTCCGTCTCTTATTAATCTTAATATTTTTTACTAGTAATATGTATTCCATTAATGGGCTGCTCCTATTTTGCCACATATTTCCACACTGTTGTTTTCTTTACATAAGAAGCTGTTGCAATTGCAAAGCTATTTAGATTCTGTATCGTAAAACCTCTAATTGGCTTATGTAGCTTTTATATTTTGTTTCGATAGGTATTGAGGTGATAGTGAGAAAAGTCATCGTTATTATATAATTTTGTGAAGGTCCGAAAGTGATATACAGTAGTAATAAAAAACACACGATGAATACTTTGGAAAATCAAAATTGATGAATTTTCTAAGATATACTGGTAAGACCGTTACGCTTATTCGCATGGAGTTTATGCATGAAAGTGATCATTGTAATATCAAACAATGAAATCAAAATCATCTGAAATAAATGTGTGAATATTGAAATGTGCCTTTTATACTATTGAAACAATACTAATTGTTGAATTGAATAAATGGGATGGCTTTCTTAATACAAGCTATTTTATTTATGGATTATTATCCATGAATTATTATTATTTCTAGCTAAAGCTATCGCCTACTTTGAAAATACCAATATACCTACAATATATTTTTTTTTTAATTTTGTGTCGGCAAATTGTATCGCTACAGAGTTGTTGAATAGGTGGCGCGACTGTCGCGACAAGCTGGCGAAGAGGGTGCAGAAAGAAGAAGAGTGGAAACAGAGAAGAAAGAGATGCAAGAGAAACTCATCAACATGGCCGTCGAACTGGAAAAGACTAAACAGAACCTCATTAATAGCGAAGCTAAGGTAATATTTTTTTATTTTCTGTGTTATCATATCTAATTCGTTAATTAGCGCCTAATTTACACGATTTAACACCGAATAACATCAGCTTTATACAATCTGATCATTACCTATCATTCCGAACACTTAGTGATAAGCGCTGCATGTTTGTCTATCCTCACAGTAAACCTAGCATTTTCTGAATTATACACAATACAGGTCAAAATAGGTCACCTTACGTTAACGTAATCTGTAAATTCTGTAATATTCTGTATGCACTGCAGCCGTACGATTATACTTCGTATCTGAATTCCCAATCTTGTCAATAAAAAAAATGCATGTGAATGCAAACTAAATAATCCACATTGTTTTGGAGTTATATATTCGAGAGGTGTAAGAACGTATACACCAAATTGCTCCATTTTTTTAGCCTGCTCTTACTCTATGATGATAAATGTTGATATAAAATCTAAACTGCCATTTCCATAATACTCATACATGCTTACTTTTAGGTGCAATACATCTCAATAAATATGTACAGATCCGAAGAAAGTTTAAATAACGCTAAAGCTCTATTTCATATAGGAAGCAATATAAATATTTCCCATATACGAGGCGTGTGCGTACACGTGTCCAAAATTACTATTATCATGTGCTTACTATTCAAGTTTTACTTAAGTTTTTTATTTTCCTTTACCAGTAAAAATGTAACTGGCCGAGTTCTAGTCGGTTCTAGTGTATGTTATCGTACAGTCAGCATCAGAAAGATCGAAGCTTCATACATAGAGTTTAAAATCATCTGATGTTTCTTTTAGATATACGCAATTAGTGTAAACATTTTGTGTACATTGTTAGCAAATAAGCGAAGCATAGGTTCCGTTCGCCTCGTGATTTCGCCTCACTCTTTGACAAATACATAACAGTACCCTTAGCACGAACCAATATCGAATTCGAATAGTTTACGAGTCCGAAATGTCATTGTCAAATGTGTACTGATTTTTAGTTCTCGTTACGACCGTTGTGGCGCTGCCGATCAAGTTTTCATACAAAATATGACATTGACATTTCGCACTCGCAAACTATTCGAATTCGATATTGGTTCGTGCTACGGGTACTGCACTACATTGTTTCACTTCCAAAGTAGCTGAAACCAGCTTTAGGGCCCTATTTCACCAAGTCAACATAATATATGTTGCTGACATAAAATGTTTGTTGTGAGGTGATCTATTTACCAATTCATTGATTAAAAGTTCGATACTGATTTTGCTTATGCGGATTTTTTCTTTGAACGCAAAATCAGTGATATCAAAGGAGAAAATTATTTGTTCTCTAAATACGATCCTGTTTAAGATGTCATCTTTTCAAGATTACGCGGAGAGTCATTTTGTAACTAACAATGAAAACACTACAATTGTAACGCAAATCTGACACAGTCGCGATCTCATGTCAAAAATGACATACCGACAATTTGTCAAATGCCGACTTGAGAAAGTACCCTTTTTTCACAAATGATAATTAATTTGTGAAACAAGGATAATTTTTTATGTCGGCATTTGACAAATTGCCGTTAAATTTTTATGACATATGTCAACTTGGTGAAATAGATTAAGTCACCTGTCAATTACTCAACATAAATTATGCGGCTGCGAGCATTTACACGGCACCAGATTTGGAATGCCAGTGACTTGACGTAAGCTTATGTATCAATAAAAAAAATCCACTGTATAGCCACTGCTGTGAGAATTTCACGTTAACCTTTTTTATTTCCGATAGGTAGTTGTAGGTTTTTACATTTATTTAGTTGCATTACATTCGCCTAGAATTTTGTTAATTTACCAAAGTATCAATATTGTCTTGTGTTTGATATTAATTGGAAAGCTATGTCTTTTGTTTGATATTAATATGAAAGCTTGGCCGTATTTTTTTGGAATTTTAACGTGAATGTATATGGCTGTTAAACAATACTCTATTACGTGGTTTTAAAGATCATTTCCCAGTTTAACATAGGTTAAAATAAATATTTTGCTAGCGTTCATAATATTATTCATAAGATTTATGAACAACCTGTGCAAATTACATATCAATTGAAAATGTTAATGACACTATTTCACCACCATTTGTGCTTACAATAATACGAGGATTTTTAATGAGCGTATTCAGTTGATTTTATGTACTTTTGTTTGATCTATCTGACGCTGACTGTACATAGACTAATTTATTGCGCAACTGTGATAAGAAAAAAACAAAGCTGTACTCGGACTGAAAGAAATTACGCTTAAGATACGTGATCTTATTTTGTGATCATTGCTCGTCAGTATAACTCTTCAATTAAAAATGTTCATGCTTACAGTGCTTTTAATAAAAAAATCGTTGAAAGTTAATATTTGGCCTTACCTTTTTTAAAACCACTACGTAAATACACACGTGCTTAATAACGTGTTTAACAACTGTCTTTTTTTATTTCCATACCTGACGATATTTCAAATATTTGTCAAAATGAATCGCGTGTGAGCTTTTTGGTGCGGATTCTCTTCAGTCTGATTGTAGCTTACAGTAATTCATAAATATAAAACTCTTTTGAACTAGTTTCCTTGTCCGTTCGAATTTGTTAGATTATTGCGCGAAAGTGTGAAGGAACGCGCCACAGACATAGATCGAAATCGATACCGCAAGTGATGGTACTTCGCGTGCCAAAACCATATGTCAAAGGGGTCACGAAATGTCAGCCTTTTCGGCTATTTTATTTCTTTTAAATTTTTTGTTAATGTCTAATTGTGCCATATAAGCTGTAAAAACCATAGAATTGTAGCGGGTTGCCGGTGACCGTGCTTTCCCACCACGTATTTTGCCCTCAAAATGTGACACGCTCGGTTTTCATACAATAGGGATGACGACTAAATTTTTTCATATATCAAGTAGATTATAATCAATAAGTATCGGAGTATTTTCTTTATTCAGATAGTCAAAACATTACAGAGATAATTATGTCGCATGACGTCACGATTTGGTACAATTTTTACTTAAAAGTGACGTCACGAGCCCGCACTCCCAAACGTTGACGCGCTATAACTTTGTTATTTTTAGATTGATTGACCAAAGATGGACGGAAAACTGACTGACTAAATAGATTTTAGATTAATTTACCCCGTCGTCACCCCTATTTGAAGCACGTGCGTCGTCTACTGAAATCTAAGTCTGTGGAACGCGCTGTTCGGACGCTATTTGAGAAACAATTGATGTTTTCCCGTGCGGGGTTCAGGTGGTGCGCCTCAACGGGGAAGTGCACTCGCTCGCGATGGAAGTGAAGTCCCTGCGCGGCAACGCCAGCCACGCGGCCGTGAGTGCGAGCCTCTACAGCATTTAGCAAACGTACCGCCTGACGTTTAGGGAAGGGGAGAGGGCAAACGTAGATGGCTCTCTTGTAGCTTCAAATCATAGACTTAGAATGCAGATGCTCCCGAAGCTTGAAATCATAAACATAAAGAATAGATTATAAACGTTCTCATGAATTTGATAACTCTGACAAAATTCAAGAGTTAACCATAATTAAATTCAAATATGGTATTAAAAAAATCACTCATTAAAAAGGCTTATTACAAAGTGTCTGATTATATTACAGACAAAAATGCTTAGGTTTTAACTATTCCAAACATTCCAACAGGTTTTCTATATTAAATAAATCATGATTGTATTGATGTTGTAACAACATAAAGATTTGTAAATGTTGTCATATTTTTAATGTTGTGGAGTTTTTTTCGCTCGTTTTTTCCGCAGCTAAAAAATATGTCCAATAACGAGTGGTAGGGAAAAAAAAATTTGAGAGTTATACTATACATCCAATTTGAATAAAGATATATTGATTTCTGATTCGGTATTACGGATTTGGATTTTGTCTTCATAATCTCAGAAACGGGTAATATATAAGCATGTATGTAAAGGTACTATTCCGTGCATCGCGATCGATCACGGCCGCGCGCGGCCTACGACTGTCGTCGGTCGCTCGCGACAATAATCAGAGTATGAAAATGTATGGCACCGCTTCCGAGGCCTGCGACAGACGCGCGCGGCCATGCGTGTCTCGACATGCTCTGCTCAGCGCTCAGTAACATCTTGGATTTCAAGGCGCAAACATGTCTAGGAACGCAGGAGAAAACTTTTTGATCGAGGAAGACAAAATATTAATATTTTTTTTGTCTCAAAATCCAATAATATATGATATGAGTAATGGAGATTACAAAAATTCATGGATCTCTTTTTTCATAATATAACAACAGCAGCTCTTCATAGTTCTTTTCTTATCAAGAATGTCAATTAGCACTTCGACCATGATTTTGACTTCGGTAGACACACGTCTAGGGGGATCAGACGATAAAACACCGACTTACTTTTGGCGACATGCGCGGCGCGCGTCTTTTGCGGGCCTCGGAAGCGGTGCCACACATTTTCATACTCTGACTATTGTCGCGAGCGACCGACGACAGTCGTAGACCGCGCGCGGCCGCGATCGATCGCGATGCACGGAATAGTACCTTAAGTATAAATCAATGAAGTCATCAATTATAGGTAGCGGCAAACCTCTTGAGCAAAACCACAGATAAATCAATTTGCGCAGTAGACGTTTTTGTATGTAAAGTTGTTACTGGGCAGGCCTCCTTGTCTAAAGCCGTTGCTCAAGAAGTTTGCCGGCGTGTATACCAGTTACTTTATAGTATGCAAAGCAAACATAAGGGTAAGCAGAGAAATTCTGTGGAATATTCAATGAATAAAATATGAATTTATATATAGATATGAGTTATTACCGTATTATACTTAAATTAATAAGCAATGATAATGAATGCACTAAAAAATTTTACCTTTAAAGGAGGGGAAGTCCGAAGTTCACCCGAAGCACTTTATTTTCTATTGGTCGCCAACCAATTACGAACAGTAGTTACCAAAATAACACATCATTAAATAGACTTGTAAAACAACTCTAATAACTTTGAATCTGATAAGCGCGCAAAAGCTTAATGTAATCAATTTTTACCTTAAAAAACAAATATGATAAGAATCTATCATAAACTTATATTATGTTCAACATTGTTTTTGATTATTTGTAATATGATTTCAACTTTAAATGACAATTGTTTAAAATGCGTACTTCACTTTGTAATATTTGGATTTTCTGCACGAAAATAAAATTGAGAAAAGTTGTGATAATTTAAAATATCAAAGTGCACGTACAAAAACGATATAAGCACTTAGTGATACTCGCCATAAATTCTATTAAAACATAGAAATAGTAACATAAACTACTTACAGATAAGTTATTTTTCATTATTGGTCGTCATCGAAACAAAAATTTAGAAGAAATTTTAACTAAAGAAACTGCATGTATGAAGATGAAGTAAATATTTTTAAGGCAGCACACGTCGGAGACGCCAAACTATTTTTAAATTCGATTTTAGTTGATATTGGCTTAATTGTGGTAGATACAAAGTAGCCATTAAGAATGGAAGAGAAAGAAAGGTTTGACAAGCTATAATTTAATTGACGTTTCTTAGTACGGCTGTAAGGATTTTGTATTTAGTTATTGAAAAAAAATTGTAATGACAAAAGTACTGCAAATAATATGTTGAAGGTACGTCTTTATTTAATTGATGGGAATGAGCTCTGTTTAATAAACAATTGCGCCATCTACGTGTTGCTAGTTCCCTCCAAACTGTTCACGATACATATTGTATTTACAGGCTACAACATGCTATTATAATACATATCTATAGAAAAGTAAGGCACAATATAGCGTGATATACTTACCCGTCCAAAGTTTTATTTTTATTATATCGCTTTATTCTACATAATAGGTTGGGGAAAAAGTCATTGCGCATTAAAGTATGTATGAACTTGTAGTAAAATCTCTTTGGCTATACCATTTGTATCTGGCTGGTTTTGGTATAATTGAAAAGTTTAAATTTTAAAGAAGATAATTCCAAATTCTAATTAGAAAAATGTGTGATTTTTATTTGTTTTTCTTACTGGCAAGATGAGTGAATCTAATGAAGAAATTCGATACATTTTAAAATTTAACTACAAAAATAAAAATGCAAAGAAAGCCGCGAAAAAAATTATCGAACAAAATGGCACTTGTTTACTTGGGTTAAATATAAATAAACTTTGTTATAAATGTTTTGAATTTTCATATAAAATGCGAAGAAACTTTTTCCCTAATCTAATACAATACCACAATTAGTAGTAATTTTATTATGTTTGAATTATTTAGCGATCCTATTTTTGTTTTATTTATTCAACTTTATGCTTGAATTGCTTATTTTCTCTAGTCTAGTGGTCGTGTTAGTTTTATTTCGTACAGTTGTTATTGTGAAAGTACGTTTAATATAAGTGAATAGAGTTATAATTTGCTAGTTCCTCAGAAATTATATAATTTATAGTGTGCTATCTTTTATTCTATGTTTATAAAATATGTTTAAAAGAGATAATTTTAAAATAGTTAGGGCCTATTTTTTTGTTATTTTTCGCTGCATTTAGATATTTTTTTCTAATTTAAAAAGTTGTTAATATATAATTTTGCGAATATATTGCCTTTGAAATAAGTATTTTTTGGCTATTATAAAGGTAAGAATGTAATTGTTTTCTTGGTTATATTTTATCTTGATGCTGATCAATAGTTGCACTTATTTTACTGTGAGTTTTTTGTTTTCAAATGCTTGCATTTTAATTGGGGGTTTAATTAAGAACGCATTTCAAGTTTTGGGGCGTGTACGCACCATGCTTTGTGTAGCAATATCTGTTATTATGATTTATATTTTCGTCTCGATGTATCGTTCTAATCTCGGGCCGATAACAGTATCAGTATCGATAGAAGGAATCACGTGATGACGTTGGCGTCACGCCTAATACAGTATCATTTTAACGAGTACAGCGGCACAGGTGTGCCTGTTTTATTGACGCTGTAATAGCAAGGTGGATTTACGATATACAGATAGATACTATTTAAAGTAAGTTTTTAACACATTGGCATCTATCACTGAAAGAGTTATGACATTCCTTTGTTTTTAGGAGTATGAACATATTGTCTTTTTAATCATTATTTGTATATTGGTGTTTGTTTTAATTATTAAACTATTTTTTCTTACATGTTTTCTTTTTTGTCGAATAAATAGTTTTTTTAAAGTATTTTTTAATTTACCCTAGCCGCTTGCATGGTTGTGTAGATAATAAAAACTAACATAAAGTGTTCTTCACGCATGGCATAATATTAAGCCGTTATTACGTTAGAGAATCTAAATTAAGAAACTTAATTAAGAATACACTTTTACTTTGTTTGTTGGAAAATTCTCTTACGTGATAATGACTTTTTAATGTATATAAAGTATCTAACAAACTAACCATAACATCTTTTAATATTTTTCTAATTGAAAAATAAATATGGTTAGACCATCAGGCTTAACTAGAGTTAAATGATTTCAATGATAAATTGTCGGTAATTGACATATAAACGGTAGTTTTTCAGAGTGCATACTGCGGAGATTTCACAAACGATTATCAACCTTAATGCAGGATTTTGATGTTTTGTCGTAGCCAGATATGCAGTTGTCCGTACATAAAAATATTGCCCTTTTCATCTATAGTAACTAAGTGGTATATGCCTTTGATAACTGCAAGTATAGTAGGCATTAATTAAGCAATAGGTAGGTAAATTGACAATAATAACATAGATATTGTAATATAAAGTGGGAGTTTGTTAGCAACTGTAATTTAATTGTAGAAATATTTGCGTAAATATGAAGTGAAACTTGAGGTGAGTGTTGATGGGATGTTTTTAACTCGTTTGGGAGGTTCGCACTTTAAACTTTGCTTCACTGGATCTTGAAGTAATTGGCACAATGTTTGGTCACGCTGGAAAATAAATAACTAATAAATACTGGTCCGCGTGGTTTTTTTTCTAGTAAAAGCTTTTCTTTACATTTAAACATCTAGCAGTTAAATGCTTAAAAATAAATAAAAACATAATAAATAACTAGTTTAAAAATGCTTTCCGGGTTATCTGCACAATTTTATTGGTCATGTTTTAAGACTTATTAATTAAATTTATCAAGTTAATGATGCAGGTATAAGCTATCAATAATAAAACATTTATGAATTACAAACTACTATAGTCTAAAAAAACGCACCGTTTGGACTGGCTTTATGTTATCTAGATTATCGACGACATGTGATTTTTCAATAAAAAAATATGTTTATAAATTTTTCAACAACTTTAACATAGCGCTCTTGATAATAAAGATCATTTATCTGCCATTAAAATGTATAGACCAGTCTACTGTAACTTGTTTTACATATAAGTCACGATGCATAACATTACAACTGATAAGCAATTAATCGCGTTTGAAATAGTTAAAAAATAAACCGGCCTAAAGTAGGTCAGTGAAGCTATATTTTGATAATTTTTTCAAAGATTAAAAAAATGTATTAATACTTAATTTGTGAATGTTTTGATCATATCGCTGTTCCAAACTAATGCTCGGACAACGATATTTGCAGGATAAAAATATGGAACTGCAAAGTCGTATTGAAGCGTTGACCGAGGAGAATAAGGAGTTGACATTAGCTTTGGAGAGTGAAAGCGAACTGGTTCGAACGTTGAGAGAGAAGATGGAGCAGTGTGAGCGGCGCTTCGACGAACAATCGGCCGAAGTGAACCACCTCAACTCTCTCGTCACAGACATGCAGCACGACTACGTGGATATACAGCGGAAGTATGACAAGTGAGTCGCGTGTTCATATTTAGGATAAAGGAGCAGAATAGGACATTGACATTGGCCTTGGAAGAGTGAACGTTGAGAGGCGTTTCTACGAGCAATCGATTGACGAGAACCTACGAATGTAAGTGCCTATCACGGTTGATATATGTTATGCATGATTAATGAATATTATGAGCGTAACAAACATAAGTTATTAAATAAATTGGCGTTTTTTATTGAACTAGTTTAACAATGAAGTTATTTATGATTCTTTGTTAAAATGATATCAAAGTTTAAATCTTAAGAAAAGTTTACTAGAAAAAAAAATCCACGCGGACCAGGCAGCGGACGGGACTCGAACCCGCATCCTTCGCTATCCGGGCGAATGCACTGACCATTATGCTACCACGGCCCTATTAGCCGCGTCGAAATTTTCCTAGCCTTAAGCTGCAAGGCAGCGCCATCTCTTCGCATTGTAGGTAACCCACAATGTCAAATGAATACTGTTACAAGTATTACACATTTGAAAGAAGAAATAGCAATTATAGTTATGATTTTATTTATTTTATAAGCATTGCCTTGCAGCTTAAGGCTAGGAAAATTTCGACGCGGCTAATAGGGCCGTGGTAGCATAATGGTCAGTGCATTCGCCCGGATAGCGAAGGATGCGGGTTTGAGTCCCGTCCGCTGCCTGGTCCGCGTGGATTTTTTTCTGGTAAACTTTTCTTAAGATTTAAATATCTAGCAGTTAAATGCTTATAAAATAAATAAAATCATAACTATAATTGCTATTTCTTCTTTCAAATGTTTAATACTTGTAAAAGTATTCATTTGACATTGTGGGGTTACCTACAATGCGAAGAGATGGCGCTGCCTTGCAGCTTAAGGCTAGGAAAATTTCGACGCGGCTAATAGGGCCGTGGTAGCATAATGGTCAGTGCATTCGCCCGGATAGCGAAGGATGCGGGTTCGAGTCCCGTCCGCTGCCTGGTCCGCGTGGATTTTTTTCTAGTAAACTTTTCTTAAGGTTTAAATATCTAGCAGTTAAATGCTTATAAAATAAATAAAATCATAACTATAATTGCTATTTCTTCTTTCAAATGTTTAATACTTGTAAAAGTATTCATTTGACATTGTGGGTTACCTACAATGCGAAGAGATGGCGCTACCTTGCAGCTTAAGGCTAGGAAAATTTCGACGCGGCTAATAGGGCCGTGGTAGCATAATGGTCAGTGCATTCGCCCGGATAGCGAAGGATGCGGGTTCGAGTCCCGTCCGCTGCCTGGTCCGCGTGGATTTTTTTTTCTAGTAAACTTTTCTTAAGATTTAAATATCTAGCAGTTAAATGCTTATAAAATAAATAAAATCATAACTATAATTGCTATTTCTTCTTTCAAATGTTTAATACTTCTAAAAGTATTCATTTGACATTGTGGGTTACCTACAATGTGAAGAGATGGCGCTGCCTTGCAGCTTAAGGCTAGGAAAATTTCGACGCGGCTAATAGGGCCGTGGTAGCATAATGGTCAGTGCATTCGCCCGGATAGCGAAGGATGCGGGTTCGAGTCCCGTCCGCTGCCTGGTCCGCGTGGATTTTTTTCTAGTAAACTTTTCTTAAGATTTAAATATCTAGCAGTTAAATGCTTATAAAATAAATAAAATCATAACTATAATTGCTATTTCTTCTTTCAAATGTTTAATACTTGTAACAGTATTCATTTGACATTGTGGGTTACCTACAATGCGAAGAGATGGCGCTGCCTTGCAGCTTAAGGCTAGGAAAATTTCGACGCGGCTAATAGGGCCGTGGTAGCATAATGGTCAGTGCATTCGCCCGGATAGCGAAGGATGCGGGTTCGAGTCCCGTCCGCTGCCTGGTCCACGTGGATTTTTTTCTAGTAAACTTTTCTTAAGATTTAAATATCTAGCAGTTAAATGCTTATAAAATAAATAAAATCATAACTATAATTGCTATTTCTTCTTTCAAATGTTTAATACTTGTAAAAGTATTCATTTGTCATTGTGGGTAACCTACAATGCGAAGTGATGGCGCTGCCTTGCAGCTTAAGGCTAGGAAAATTTCGACGCGGCTAATAGGGCCGTGGTAGCATAATGGTCAGTGCATTCGCCCGGATAGCGAAAGATGCGGGTTCGAGTCCCGTCCGCTGCCTAGTCCGCGTGGATTTTTTTCTAGTAAACTTTTCTTAAGATTTAAATATCTAGCAGTTAAATGCTTTTAAAATAAATAAAATCATAACTGATATCAAAGTTACTTGACCTAACTACAATCTTTATTACAGAGAGAGGCGAGAGAAGGACGAGGCATTGTTACGCAATGCTCACATGTCGCAGACGATAGAAATGAGCCAATGCAACGTGCGCTACCAGGAGGTGGAGATAAACGAACTCAAAGCTAAGATAACGGAGCTCAACTCTCTTATAGCAGAACACAAGGAGGTAGGACTTTATTCTTTATTAGATACTAGTGACCCGCCCTCGCTTCGCTTCGGTGTAGAGCTATTCGAATTTTTCTCACCTTTTAAACCTTTCCCTAGACCTCCACGAATAACAAGATAAGATAAATTCGTTCAGCCGTTCTCGAGTTTTAACGAGACTAACGAACAGCAATTAATTTTTATATATAGATAGAGTTAAGAGTTGAAAGAGGAGCTCTTTGGCGCAAGTGGCTAGCTCGTTCGGCTGTGATCGTTGAAGTGAAACAACTTTCGCACTAGTCAGTCAGCTATTGGATGACCAAAAATTTGCTACATTGAGCTCTTCCGTGCTTCGGAAGGCACGTTAAGCCGTTGGTCCCGGCTGCATCTGCACTCGTTAGTCTTGTTTACCAAACCGCAACGGACCCGCGTGGTGGATCATTTCCTATTCTCCCTATTCCATTAATAAGGAAGGCTTGTGCCCTTGCAGTGTTTACAGTAATTGTCAAACAGATAGAGTTGAAAATCGTAAGAATGAAAATAATGCACCCTGTCTTTAAACGGATAACAGAGCTCAACTCGCTTATAGCACTACACAAGGTGGTGAGACTTTATTCTGTTCAGTTTCAATTAAACAATATTCTGTTTTATTGCATTAGTATAGAGTTGTTCAGAGTTTCGATTATTGAATATTATTATATTTTATCGAATTGCTTTTGAGTTCAAAATCGTAATAATAAAAGCAATAAAGTGCCCTGATTGCAAAATATTTTTTGTATATAGGGGTAAATATATACTATGTATTTTATTACAGAATCAGGCAGCTTGTATGTTGATAAAAGAAAATGAAGAGGCACGGAAAACTGAAATCGAAGAGTTGAAGAGACGAATAGAAGAGGTGACCGAAAACGAAGCAACTTTAAAGAAAACTATACAAGACTTAGAAACTGAAATCTGTGATAAAAATAAAGTATGTATAAAAACGGATTCTGGATATTATTATCGTTACGGTAAATTATAAATAACTTCTTCTTTTATTTACAGAAAATAAAAACATTAGACAATCGAATATCTGACATGAAGAAGACTTTGCAACGTGAATTACAAAGTAGTAAATCTGACTTGACCACTGCAGAGGAACAAGATATAAGTAGAAGGTATTTATATCTAAAAAAAACTCTCTCTTTCTTTCTCTCTCTAAATTATTATATATTGAAAAGATCGATAAAAATTATATCGGTTTGTGATACTCGCATCTCATACATTCTATACTAATATTATAAAGAGGAAATATTTGATTGTTTGTTTGTAATGAATGGGCTCCGAAACTACTGGACCGATTTGAAAATTATCCCTGATGAACATATAGTATTTTCGAAAAAGTTAGGGTCCGTAAGAAAAATTTGATAATGTAACCCAGGGTGTGAAAAAATACCAAAAAGTAATATATATCGCTTACGCTGCGGAAGTCTTTGACAATAGAGCAAAGTGATGTACAAAAATTTTATAGAGGACATAAATATCTACAAAAAAGTTTGCGATATCATTTGTCAAACCATTGCAGTTATGTCACAACTAAAGGTCACATGCGGTTTCACGCGCGTTAATTTGAGGCAAAAGGTTATATAGTGAGTCAAACTTAAAAGGTGATATGGTCTTTTTTAAAGAACTTTTAAAGGGGAACACTTTCGTCATACATGATTTGTGTGTAACTTTAATTATTTACGCAGCACACGGAACGGAATCTCCCAAATGAAATATTTTAACCCGTTTTTGCAACATTTTACATCGATACTCGCAGCGTAATATTATATAGCCTTAAGCCTTTCTCAATAAATGCACAATCTAACACAAAAAAATTTTTTCAAATCAGATCATTAGTTTCTGAGATTTGCGCGTTCAACTATAAAAATGGTGTATTCGGTACAACGGTACCTAAACTATGCACATAATTTTCACTATTTATTAAATACATTTTCAAGTGAGGTTTATAATTATATAAAGAAATTAATATAATTAAGCCTGAGAACAAAAACTATACACTGTAGTGTAGAGCTGTAGCGAAGCGAAGCGAGGGCGGGCTACTAGTTTATTATATACGATGTTCTCTAAACAGACTCGATTCTTGAAAGTGCTTTTTATTAACTATTCAAGCGGAATAAAATTTAAAGAAGTTTAAACCAAAATTGAAGAGGTATAACTTTACACTTTTTGAAAGCCTCATATTACATTTTGCCATAAAGAATGTCAAAGTAGCTATATGAAAAGTATTATGTGTTTACATACTGCCATTTTGCTTCCTACTAATTCGTCAAAATGCTACATTTTCCCGCAGGTATCTAAAGCACGTGGTGCTTCGTTTCCTGACTGCGCGGGAGATAGAAGCGCGCCAACTAACCCGAGCGCTCGCGACCTTACTACGCCTGTCCGCGCACGAGGAGGCCTTATTGCGGGCCGCGTTACCGCCACGGTCGGGCCTGGCCGCCTGGTTCCCGTCGCTCGACACCTGACCGCCTTGTGAGTATAGCGATCGCACGTGAGCTAGAGGCGCGGCTCATTGACCGCGTGCTGCGTCTGTCCGCGCACGAGGAGACCTTACTGCGGGCCGCGTTACCGCCGCGGTCGGGCCTGGCCGCCTGGTTCCCGTCGCTCGACACCTGACCGCCCTGTGAGTATAGCGACCGCGCGCGAGCTTGAGGCGCGGCTCATTGACCGCGTGCTGCGTCTGTCCACGCACGAGGAGGTTTTACTGCGGGCCGCGTTCGTTCCTGGCCGCCTGGTTACCGTCACTCGACACCTGACCGCCCCGTGAGTATAGCGACCGTGCGCGAGCTAGAGGCGTGGCTCATTGACCCCGTGCTGCTTCTGTCTGCGCACGAGGAGGCCTTACTACGGGCCGCGTTACCGCCGCGGTCGGGCCTGGCCGCCTGGTTCCCGTCGTTCGACACCTGACCGCGCCGTGAGGCGCGGGTCTTTGACCGCTCTTTGACAGTCACAACTGTCCGCGAAGAATTAATTCAAAATTAAAGAATTTTTTTGATGTTAATATCGCAGGTTTCAGTAAAACCTAGGAAAAGACTCGACAATAACCGTAGGAAATTAATGATTGTCTAGAAAAAAAGAAAAGCTATATAAGATGACCAACAAATAATAAATTAAGCAATTGAGCGGGCAGTAGTTCGCATTCGAATTTATCAAGGAATATTCAGATAATTTCTCTCTATAACTCCGTCCGTCGTATTTATAAACAATTAAAAGACATCACTCCAACTTCTGTCTCTCTCGCACGTTAATTAGAATAGCATGTGCGAAAGGGACAGTGTCTTGTGTCGTCATTTGCGATTCGTTTTTTATTGGCTTGAGTTATAACCAAGTAATAGTCACCATTTCCGTTGTTAAGAAACCATTTGTTTTATTAAAGAATGCTATTATCAAATTGTGACTTGGTTACTTAGCAACAATATAATAACTTAGACTTGTCTATAAATACGATTGTATATAAGTAAAACCCCGCGCGCTCCTTTATTTAGTTAACTGCGCCGCGACTTGCGCCAACTTCACAGTCATCATTAAGTTTGAATTGCACTAAACTAGGAGCTCGATGGCGTGGGTGGTTAGCGCATTGGGATGCGATCGTTGAAGTTAAGCAACTTTCGCAGTGGTCGGTCATTGGATGGGTGACCGAAAATCTTCTATCTCGAGTTCCTCCGTGCTTCGGAACGCACGTTAAGCTGTGGGTCCCGGCTGCATGCAGATGCGCTGCGCTGCCCAGTGTGGTGGGTCATGGATGGCCCAATCTCACTATTCCATCCATAGGGAAGGCCTGTACCCCACCCCAGCAGTGAGGGCATTAATAGGCAAATAATAAAAAATAATGAAAATAGTGCGTTACACAAAGTATGTAACCGCCACCGCCCATTTAGAGAGTTGGCATAGAACAAAGCGTCATTTCTGTCATGCACACATTGAAATTACGTAATCATGCGTTCTCACCCAGATTCGAGCAAAATTTATTCGTGACTAATGGCTCGATTACACTTGGTCAGTAGGCCGTATTCGATTGCACGAAAGACTTCGAAATTCCAAATATTGATTTACACTGGAATACGGGCTGGAAGAAGATGTGGGGTTACCAAAACGAAAATTATCCGAATACGAGTTTTCTCGACTGCGTTCATTTACACTTAGTTATTTACCCGAATTCCGTTGGCAATCGTATTCGGGCTAACAACTAAGTGTAATTGAGCCATAACTTGAAGTTTAAGTAATATAAGGTGTATTTATGAGGACGTTTTCTCTTTTTGTTAACAGAATAGGCAGTTCAAACGCAAGAATAAAAGATTGCCCGCAACAGCAGAACCTAAGAGGTGCTTGTTTTATTGCAAATCAAATGTACATGCTTTCGTGAGAACAAACAATAATTATTATGTGCGTTTAGATAACGAAATATATGTTTGGGATGAGGTAATACGAACTACTTTCTCGTTAGTCAAACACAAATTATCCAGCTTCTTTAATGTTTTACTTTTAAGGAACCAAATAATTTATTAAATAGTGCAATAGACGAGTGGCCCTTAGCATTATTACGCTTTGTTAAATGGTGCAGACAATCGGTAGAGATGTAAGTTAGACATACGTGATTTTTTACCAACACAATTGTAATTTATATGCATTATCATATTGTCTGTAGTCTAATATTTAAATCGTGAGATATGGACTTACACTCAAAACGTATCGATTGTTTTTAAAGTACACGGTATATTGCTATAAAAATTGCTGCTTCATTGCTTTCTAGCATTCTCTCATTGACATCGAGATGAATGAGCTGAGTGGATACACTTAGTGTTATAAGTTTTAACGGTCTCTAGCAAATTATGTTAGTTTGAGCAATACTATATTTTCAAAAACACACACGAAAAAGATGGTTCATAAAGCTGCATAAAAAGTTTTTGCTCAATGTAACTTTATTGTTCGCTAGGGACCGTCAAAACTTAAAATGCTAGGTGGGCCGATAGATGTGTCCGGAAGTGTATTTTTGTTGTTGTGTTCATGTCCATTGATTTAAATCTTAGACTTTCATTCCAGTCGCAAATATAAATAAGCAAATAAGCTAGCGCGAATAACGTCAATTTTGTTAAGCCAAGTCTAAGTAATTGGATTAATTAAAAATCACGTACCATAGTCTACAACTCTCATAATTCGACGACGTTAATTCTTCATATTGAGCTGTTATACTTATAAGTAATGTATTTAAAAGATTATAAGGTGGGCCAAACAGTACACTTTCGTGCGACCTCATGAATGAACAATTGAAATATAACGGAATTTCGGGAAAGATGCATCACTTCCTTAGATGCATAGTTGTATGCTTAGATTAAAACAAAAAGGGAAGATACGGTACGCTCATACTAGCATCAAATAACATAATTATGATCCGATTCAACTACATAAGCAACTGTCACACACGCACACATCTGTAAATAACATTCAATCGAGCGAGCGAGACATCTGTACGCTTCAACGCAGAGCGAGCGAAACGGCGAATCAGCTTCCAAGTGCGAACGGTCGAGCTGTATTGTTGTCCTTTTCTTGATTACAAAATGGCGATTACGTAAATAACATTCACGACAAACTGTGATTTTTGAGAAAAAAATGATTTTACAGTTTTACGAATGATAAGTGTTGCCCAGGCATTTGCTTTAATTTTTAACTATTTGTGTTCTTTATAAAAGTATCCAAGGCATTGTTTTATCTTTATAACACAGAATATACGCAATATTGTTATATTGGGTGTACATGCAACGTGTTTGAATGTCCAATTGTGACTACAACGAATTGTGATCGTACACCACAATTTAAGCGGATCACTTTTTAGCCGCGAGTGCCATATCTACCCTTTTTGTTTTAATCTAAGGTTGTATGTTTTCAAAAGTCGAACGATTATGACCGCGCGTGAAAATGCAAAGCTGAAGGTTGCAAGGTCTGCGCAGCTCTACCTTTAGAAGTTATATTAAAAAATCCTGGAAACAGATTTTCGAGGCTGGATATATCGTCACGTGTGACGTACGTGAAAATTTTGGATGATACCAACTTCAATTATTTATTTTTTAAACATTTAACTACTAGTAGTTTAAATCTAAAGAAAATGTTACTGGAAAAAAATCCACGCGGACCAGGCAGCAGACGGGACTCGAGCCCAACCCGTATCCGGGCGGATGCACTGACCATTATGAGGGCTGCGGTAGCAGCGGGTTCGAGTCCCGTCTGATGCCTGGTCCGTGTGGAATTTTTTCGAGTAATATTTTTTTTATTTAATTTTTTGCTTTTTTATTATTTATGTCAAATTAAAACTACCTATATTGGAATTTATAACTTGTGATGTACTTAGATATTTTGAAAAAGAGTATTATTTTTTATGGTATTTTTTTGTCATATTGTTACTAGTCACTTGGCTTGGCCATGATTTGTGTTATAAAATTGCATACATATAATAATTATGTGAAACGAGTATTTCTTTTTTAACAATAGATGTTTGGTTTATCAACCAGGAGTTGTCAATATAGTAATTGGCATGTTTTAAAAAAGAACTTCATCTTTTCTTAATCACAACTTTTAGCATCTGCTACATTTGCTTTTGTCATTTTATTAAGGGTCAAGTTAACTACTTGAAGCTCACAGAAAGTCATATACGTATATCCAGAACGCTTTGAAGTTCTTACGCAGTAGGCAACTTTATTCCTAATAAATCCAATGCCAATACCAAACGGTTTCCTCTAGACTGATCAAGATCGGACGAACTCTACGTTGCATAAAATTTTAACCTCTTTATGAATTCTTTCAAAGTTCATAAATTATATAAATAAGGAAATAAGGGAAACACTGACGTAACGTAACAAGTGCTTAAAGTGACGTTCCTACTTCTTGTCATAATTTTATTAAGAATATATTAAATGGTTAATATTAAGATGACATTTTAATTAACAGCACAGTTAGGAACATTTTTATTGCAAATGCAAACTTAGGTCAATACCCTATTTTTCGCGATTAAAGATAACGATAAGGTCCTTAGATGTCAAAGTATCTCAATCATATCATTCGTTATTCACAATCTTACGCATCTGCGCAGTCTATAGAAGTGTTTTATTCAGCTAATAAGTTAAAATTCTAAGGTTTAATAAGGCTTTAATATGAATTATATCACAGATCAAAATGATAACTTGTTACATTCGTAAAACACCTTGCCCACTAAATTATTACGACTTTGTTACGTCCCAAACATTGTGGTTGATATAGGTACGCGAATATCTTTAAATTTAGAAAATTAATGTTATCGCGATAGAAATTGATGTAAGACCATTGGAGGCTTGGTTAACTCAAGATACTATAATAAACTCATCATACAGCTCAGCATACAGCTTGACCGCTGTAAAGTCGACTCCCGGGTTAGTTTTGCTCCATAAGCTATCTTTTGTTTTAGGGCTCTTTCAATTAATGCGTGTCTCGACGGCCTGCTGCGGTCGGCAACAGTTCTATTGTCGAGCGTTCGCGGTACCGACGCCGCACTGTTGCCGAACCGCGCGTTTTGTATGAAAAAAAAGATCGATCTTACGATCTTCCGTACGCTGTACGACAAACGCACCGCTTCGGTACCGCAGCAGGCCGTTAAGAAACGCATAAATTGAAAGCGCCCTTATCCTAGCTTTAGCTTGGAGGAGATCAAGGATAGTTGAAGAAAGACATTACTAAAATTCATTATTACAAAATAGGCCCACGGTTTTAAAATGTAGTAGATGTTTTAAATTTAAGCCGACACTGCCCTTTTGAAATCTAATTGTTGCCTTTGCGACCTATCAACCAGGGTTAAATTCCTCAGTATGTACTGTAACATTGCAAAGTGATTATAGTAGGCAATGCGACGTTTAAAACTTTAAAATGCACTTTTAGAAGGTCCAAAATTTGTGTTACACTTACTTCACATGGTGCTAACTGAAGTGTCACCCTGGTTGATATCATCCTAAATTAGTGTTGCTGTATTAAAAAAATTGAACTGAGCATTGTAAAAGCGTACTCGAATATGATACAACTAAATTATTGGCTGAACATAGCCATTAATAAGTATATGTTAATTGTAATTAAACCTTTTCAATACATTTATAACTATTTAATATATTTAGAATCCGAAAAATATAGGATTAATTTATTTAGTATTTTTGAATAGCTAAGTAGGTATAAATAAGATGTTACAGCAACACTGATCATAGGTGTTGTTACATTTGTATTAAAAACTACTAAAGTGATATTTATGCAAAGATCTGTACATACTTGTATATTAAATCTAGTCTTAGTGTGTTTCATGATTGATCGCTTTAAATGAAAAGTTATTATTGTATAAATATTTATTTTGTATTTATTTTAAAATTATCTAAGAGTTTATTTTGTTGAAACAGAGAATTCTAAGTATTTACATTCCTTAAACAATTATTTTAGAGGTAGTTTTTAGAATTGGTAGCTTATGGTTATATTTGTAAGACGACTCGATGATATGTTGTTCAATTTAATATTTTTTTTATTCCCTAGAATATATTGAACGAAAATTTTACATGTGTGTTATTCGTCTCCAATAAAAAAAATGGGTAATTTTGTATGGAACCCGTACCTGCCTTGTAGCATTATAGGCTAGGTGTCATGTAAAAGACGCATTATTAACTAGCTCAAAAATGAATTAATTAATGAATGGCGGACCGAAGATAAGATTAATTCTTTATTACATCTTTAATATTCAAGAGTCATAACAATTTGACTTTGTGAAGTGAAAATTCTTTAGGCACGCTTGACTTGGGGGGTAAACTGGCGAATGTGTTACGATTTTTGCATTACGATTAGTTTCATCGGTGACTCATCAGTAAACATTGAACAATACCCGTTACAAAATACATCAATCTAGTGCGTGCGGATTGGTGGGTGATAACGGACCCAGTGCGGATTGGTGGTTGATAACGGACCTAGTGCGGATTGGTGGGTGATAACGGAACCGGTGCGTATTGGTGGATGATAACGGTCCTAGCGCGGGTTGGTGGGTGGTAATGGACCTAGTGCGGATTGGTGAATGTTAAGGGACCCAGCGCGGATTGGTGGATGATAACGGACCCAGTGCTGATTGGTGGGTGATAATGGACCCAGCTCGAATTGATGGGTGACAATGGACCCAGCTCGGATTGGTGGGTGACAATGGACCCAGTGCTGATTGGTGGGTGATAACGGACCCACCGCGGATTGGTGGGTGATAACGGTAGCGTCTCCGACTTCACACTATCCGTTTCACTTGCACTTGAATGTAAGTCGGTTCTGTAGCACTGCTACTCAACGCAACCGGGGCGAAAGCCCCGGGGCCTCCACAAACGGGGGGCCTCCACAGTAGACTTCGAAAAAAAATCTTTCAAATTCCAACTAGTAAACATCATTTCCTTTGATATTTTTTTTTGCCCTTTAACCTTTACCTACAGCCTACAGTACTTTGTACATCTAACATACATGATTATTTGATTATATTAATCTCAGGGCCGAATTAAAGGCAGGGCAGGTGGGGCTGTGGCCCAGGGGCCTCCACAACAGCTTAAGAAATAACAAAATTTCGATGGGTCAACAAGCATGCAAATCCTAAGTGGCCCGCGGCCTCCACAACAGGATAAAAGGTAACAAAATTTCGATGGGTTAACAAGCATACAAATCCTAAGTGACCCGGGGCCTCCACAATCCTAAATCCGGCCCTGCACTCATCAATTGTGGCAAACCGACGTCAATGGTTGCATACTGAAAGATAATTTAATTACTATTGACGACATACCGACCCAAGCGCATAATATCGTTCTAAATACTTAAAGGATAAATACTCAAAAACTTTAAATATGCGTAAGATTTTATTAAGAATTTTTGGCATTTTCAACAACGAATATCTTTTATCTCCCGCGAGCTACGAAGTTGCTCCCATACAATAAATTTATACACTTTCGAAGACGTTTCTAATTACGTACCAATTCCAATGTGCTACGTATATGTATTCGTGTGGTGGATACGTTTTGCTCCATGTTCGTTGGTTGGGATTATAAATAACACTGGTCTGCAACGAAATCCTCCTTTAAATAAAAATGTGATAATTATGAAGAGCTTAACATGCTGAATCTAGATTTGCTTTCTATTGTTTGCTATCACGTATATTTTTTTTAAATATCTCAAATTCTGTATTTTTTGGGAGTCATTCTTGCACTACGCTAACTAATTTATTCAGTCTGTATAATATTTTTCCACACAAAAACGACTTGGGTTGATAGAAATAACGAGAACGATATCAAGTGATGGTATTTTTACACTATTACATACGTTTGCGCTGTGACTCCGTGGCGCTCAGTTCGATTTAAAGTTGTAAAGTGAGTGAGTGTTACCGATTTTACCCTACTAATTCGGTAAGTTTTATATTAGATTGTAACAAAAATAGAGCAAAATATAATCCCGTGAGTGAGAGATATTTTCTCCTAATTATTAAAACCATCATTGATTTTTCGAACAAAAAAAGTATTTAAATCTAAAGAAAATATAACTAGAAAAAATTCCACGCGGACCAGGCAGCAGACGGGACTCGAACCCGCACCCTTCGCAATCCGGGCGAATAACTATAATTGCTATTTCTTCTTTCAAATGTTTAATACTTGTAAAAGTATTCATTTGACATTGTGGGTTTACCTATAATGCGAAGAGATGGCGCTGCCTTGCAGCTTAAGAATAGCTAGAAAGAATTTCGACGCGGTCCGTGAGGGCCGCGGTAGCATAATTGGTCAGTGCATTCGCCCGGATTGCGAAGGGTGCGGGTTCGAGTCCCGTCTGCTGCCTGGTCCGCGTGGAATTTTTTCTAGTTATATTTTCTTTAGATTTAAACATCAAGCAGTTACATGCTTTAAAAATAATAAAAATTATAAAAAAAGTATTTTCTTAAAAGTTCCCTCACAAAAAATATATACGTGATACAATTTTTTGAAAACCCAGTTTCTGTTGAGAAATGTCACAGCTATAAAATCGAATCAATAATAAGTGGGAGTGCAAAAGAATTTTTTTTTTCAGACCAGTGTTATTTATTGAATAGGGGTGGCCTGGTCTTCGAGTCACAAAGTTAAACGTACTGCATGAATCCCTAAGTGAGGCTGCACACCGGAGCCACATGGTACATGCACGCAATATTTACCTTGCCACAATATTTTTGCGCTACATTTTTGCTTTCGTCTCTCTACTCTATGCACCCGCTACAAATGTGTCCTTGGTGTGCGTCCTTTACACGCAGATAATGTGTCGAGTTTCATGTGGCGCCACAGTTATCGTAATACAATTGTATGTCTGGTGTGCGGCCCGCGCCTGAGAGACTAGTTAAAACAATAATATTTAATAAGTTTTTATTGACTTAAAAGGACACCCGGCATTTTATGCTTAAGTTGTATAACTTTTTATTTTGTTTATCTTTAATTTATAATCTGACAATGAGTGAGTGAATATGCCCAGGGCCTCCAATAGGTCAAAGACGGCACTGGTTGATTCAGTGTTCCTATATCAAAAAATATGTTTCTTTATATAACTCTTGCACGATTCGATAAAGACGTGACATAACTTGGTTTATGTAGCAAATAATATTCGCTTTATTTTGAGACTAAATTTAATTTTATACAAATTAAGCATTTTTTCTATAAAAAGTGTAGGTTCTCCTTTATTATTATTAGTTAACACAAGCGTTGAATCATCGAAACTGAACTATATACACCATTAATAAAAATTAGGTACTGGGAGAGGAGGCAATATAATTCAAACAAATGAGGTTTAATGTATATTTTTATTTACAACTTACAATTTTCCAAGTAGCAGTATTAAACGGCGCGGCGTACTAAGTGTATGTAGGTATAGGACTTAGACTACAGAGCAACGGTTTTCGTTACAAGGCACGAAATCAAAATGAAACTTGTTACAGTCGTCTAGTATGTCTACATTTTTCCGATTCTACTGAATCAACGACGATAACTAACTTGACAATACGCCTAAATGCCCGAAACAAACAAAAAACTACGCTGAATAGGAACAGAAAAGTTTACCCATTTCCTCGTAGGTTGATTTGTCTTACTTATTCATCATAGGTACTTGATAGCTTGGTTATTTATAAATTTTGAGTTGTCGCATCTTCTTTTAATAAGTTGATGTGGCAGGTAGTTTAAAGTAGTTTGCATTTAGCAAAAGCCTCGTAGCGGTTTAAATGAACCTATATCCTAGATACCCAGACCCGTCTTTCCCAGTGCCCTTTGGGCAAGTGCCCAGGGCCCCGCGATCGATAGGGGGCCCCCTCAGATCAAATACAAAATCCAAAAACCAAATAGAAGTCATAGGGGTCCCATTATCCTAATATGCCCAGGGCCTCCAATAGGTCCGGCACTGTAGATACCCCTAGATCGAATGCCACTATTTTTAAGATTAACATTATAGACAATGTAGTCGGGGTGAGGTAATAAAAGCAGAACCACGAGAAAATGGGTACCTTACATAATAACGTGCAAAAACCAACGAAATAAAAACATCTTACGAGACTAGACGGTGGAATGTTCTATCTACAATAAATTTATCTACACAATTATTGGATAACTTTAATAATTGTCACAGCATTATTAGATTAGTATATGTTGGTATTTATCCATTAACTACAGAGTAAAATTATCAAACGCTCATATACTATGTATATTGCCAATTCACTAAACAAATAATTTTTTTACAGACTAAGGTAATTTTTCCCTATAATCTTCCTCCACATGTCACTAATCTTTACTTGTGTTACCCTATTGTACTAACGTGTATACACTCAACGACATAATTAGAGCTTTAAATTAGTCATCATATAATAATATATACCTACTTTTGATACACTTGGGATATCGTTATTTTTTTTTAACTAAAAAATATTTCATTGTCAAAGAATTATGTCGTTGAGTGTAGAATGATAGTAATTTAAAATTGACAAAATATCAAGAGTAAGCACTTTAGGTGTAAGTTAAAATTCAAGATAAGGTCAGCTTAGCAGCCACACCACCTTTGATTGCCAAGTCAATCTTAAAAACAAAATAACCTTGAACTTCATACCCAGGCTTGGAGACATGTTTGTCTCCAAGCCTGGGTATGAAGGCTCTGCTCTAGCTCGAGTCATTTCTGTATCCCGAGAATCAAAAAAATTTTTTTTTACTCATTTACTTCCGACTTACAAAATACTGGTGATGGTGTCGCTTCTCTGCTGACGCACTCGAAGATACTTTAGCATTTATTGCAGATTTAAGAAAACTAACTGTGATTGAATACTCGGCACACAAACGACAAATCGTAACAATGAATACGTGTTCTAAATTTGTTTTATATACAAAAGTGAATATTTCGGTGTTATTTGTCCATTGAAAAAATTTAATTGAAAATAAATTCTTTCAAAATATTTTGTTTTAGTTGTCTACTAATTTGCATTAGGTATGGACAGTCACGCCCAAAGTAATGTAAAAGAATGTAAATTTTTCATATAATTTGACGGACCTATATTAATTTTTAATTAAGATATAGGTACGAACATATTGTAAATGTGACTGTTTAAAGAAAAGCTTATAGTGTCCCTGCGATTAACTCACCTAATGAGGTCTTAGACCTAATTATTTAATAATTAAGTTTCCATCACAGAATTAAAACACCGAAGATTATGTGCTATTATGATTAAATTTATTTTAAAATAATTTAATATTATTAATTAACCCCTAAAATAAAACAGACACCACAACTTTCACTTATCTATCACCTTTATAACCCCATACCATAGAGTACTATAAATTTATTCAATCAAAATGTATCAGCACCTGGACAGGTTTTAGATGAGGTGGTTCTATTTTTTTTAACACATTTATTTTATTATATTGCTGGCCTGACTGTACAGTACTTCAAAGTGATTTTTAAGCGATCCCAAGTTAGCTTCTCATTTGCGTAAAATAAGAAAAAACCCACTACATTTATTATGTGGTTAAACGTTTTACGCTGCGTATTCGCGTTTATTAAAAATCAATGTTATATCAAAAAGCTAGCGCCCTCAGCAGCATAACTGGAACATATTCAGTCTCTTATGATCCCAATAGTACCTATAGCCAGGTAGAGTCTTCGCCCAGAAAGCAAAAGGTACAAGTTAAAAAAGTGAATACCTGAAACCTTTTGGCTGCCTGTCTACTGGAGTGGAACGAGGTTACGACGCGGAGCAACGGAGAAATATTAACTAATAGGAACGACCAGTTACAATAATTATTGAAATTGAAACTAAATTGATTATAATCAATCTCTAATAAATGGTAAGGAAAATCTGGTTGCGTTTGTTACTAACAGTTGTTATTCAGCTTTGTTGCCCAGATATTTTTAATATTAATAACAACTGTTGCCAAGAAACGGAACCAGCTTATCCATACTAGGTTAATTTTTACTAGCCGTAATATTATTTTTTCTTGTTGCTTTTCTAATAAACTGAATTGTCATTAACTTTCGGAGCAAATGAGAAGCTGAAATGATGTTGTTTAAACACTTGTTACATTCAACGTTTTATATGGAAAAGGTCCACCTCGAGTTTCTTCACTGAGAATTTGTTTGCGTTCCCGCTGAGCGATGCACTGTTCGACAGTCTCCTTGTTACGACGCATTAAGGTGATTTATAGCTTGACGCGGCCAGAGCAAATGTCGGAGAACAGCTGAGTGGTGACCGGCACGAATCCATCGCCGGTCCTGAAGTACAGTGGGTCCTTGATCACGTCCGGGTCGAAGCCTTCCTTCTGGTAGTGCAGTTTCTTCAACTTGAATGTGCCTGTGTAGGAAAAAAGTTTAAATTATTCATCGAATTCTCAATGGTCGAGATGTATGATATATTTATTGGTAACATAAATAACTTTAATGTTAGTGAACATGAAAGTTTAAAACAATATTGCGATAGGCTGTCCATTTGTGTGTATTAGAGCTATATATAGTATCAATAATAAAACTTCTAGTCCGGTTGTCTAGCGGATGGGTGACCAAAAATTTATTATCTCAGGTAAGGTTCGTTAAGTCGTTGGGCCCGGCTGCATCTGCAGTCGTAAGTAGTCACCAATCCCGCGCGGTGGGCTATGCCATGTCATTCCATCAATAGGGAATGCTTGTACACCAGTAGTGAGGACATTATTGGGCCGATGATAAAGGTGATGTTATTAAAGTGTACAGTAATGTTGCTTACTAGTGATCTATATGCTTTCACTGTGTACGTTGCTGTGCCCAGTCACATAAGTTCAATTTTTTTCCGGCGACTTCTCCATACTTTTGTCCCGTCCGATCTCTTGGGGTCCTCGGTTATTCGGTGGACTTTTTGAACGCTGTACTTACTCCCTCGTGTGTGTTACTCGATGAAGTTGTAGGCGATCTATTTTGGCGGACTAACAAGTCCTCTGACAAAAGCCTTCGTCTGAGCTGGGCATGATGATGATTTTATTAAAGTATACAGTGATGGTGCTTACTGGTGATCTCAATGTCCTTGACTAGTCGCAGGAACAATGGGCGCGCGTACGACGGCAGCGAATCGTCGAGATGACGCGCCAGTTTATTGAGATCCAGAGCTCTCTCCTCGTCCGCTATGGCGGCCATACCTACGCGCCCTTCCGTCTGCGGTACCTAAAATGTTTGAAAAATTTATGTCAACAGGGATGATGACTAACATTTTTAACAGACTTCAAAAAAAGGAAGTTCTCAAATCGTCCTGTATGTATGTTTGTATGTATGTAAATTTGTCCGCGATTATCTAAAAAACTATTGATCCGATTTGGATGGAGTTTGCGGTAGGTATATAAATGCATATTGATTTCCAACGTCTTTCAGATCAAAATATCAAAAGTATTAATTGTCAAAAAGAAATATATGTGTCCATTATTTTTAGATAATCTAACAGACGTAGTAAATTGAATTACGTTCACTTTATTCCGTCATCATTTCTATTTGATGCACCTTTCACTCCTACTTTAGGTACCGAAAGAGTGCCCGCTTGGTCTAGCGACTAATGATCCTAACAGCGAATCAGGCAGCACCGGATTCGCATCCCGGAGAAAGCAAACGTTTGAGTGACGATGATGAGACTACAAACGCGTGCTTTAATTTGCGATCCACATATGGTTGAATATATGACAGCAGACAGACTTGCCAATTAATTTAAGCAGCTAATATTTTGACTGAACTGGCTATGATTATTAATACGCAGTGTTTGTATTAAGTCAGTAGCACAGAGCCCCACAAAAGTCCGTATAAAAAATATTAATTGATCAATTAAATTAAAATTACCCGAGTTCTTGGAGAGAGTAATCAATGTTTTGATTGAACTTTGTTTCAAGCTTGTTCCACATATAAGCTTTGCGGGTGCCTTTATATGCGGTCTTTGGTGGGGGTGTTGTGTTCAATAGAATCAACTGCTCAGTTTACGCCCCTTCCAGCGGTAGGTGCTACGATAGTACGTACATATAGTTAGTAGTCTGTGAAGATTCAAAGTGATTTGAGTATCTATTAATACTCAAAGAGTCTTCATAATAATGTTACATTCACTTTATAGACGATGTACGCCCTCTGCGCGAGCGCGCAACCCATAGCGTCCTCCATCAGTATCTCAGCAGTGGCGACATTCTCCCTCTTCCAGCGGTAGATGTCACTATAGTATAGATCGGTTTAAGAAAGATGATCACAAATGGCGGTGGTCCGCGCATGTACACTCCCGAATGGCTCTTTCGGCTGTGTCCATGCATCGATAGATGCATTGCGACTGAACGGCCTATCCCGCAACGCGCGCGCACCGATGACGTCGCTCCGTCTTAACGTATTCCGCCTTCGCCGCACACCACACCTCCAAGAAGACCTAAAAATGCCTTTTGTGCAGTGGTCATCTTTCGTGAACCGTACTGTACGTACATGTAGTAAGTAGTCTTTCTTTATAATATTAATCAGTCCTTACCGATACACCATAGACGACGCACGCCCTCTGTGCGAGCACAGCGCCCAAAGCGTCCTCCACTTCAGCGGTGGCGACGTTCTCCCCCTTCCAACGGTAGGTGTCACCGGTGCGGTCTCGGAAGAATAGATATCCAAGTTCGTCGGCCACCAGAATGTCTCCACTCACGAACGCCGCGTCGCCCTTATGGAACACGTCGCGCTCTAGCTTCTTGTTGCTTTCGCTCTAAACAAAACAAAAAAATATATTGACAGAATTAGAAAAAAAACTAGCGAGCCTTACAGTAGTCGCGTATGATGTGTAACATTTGAAACCTCACCTTATATTAGTAAAAAAAAAAAAAAACCTACTTACAAAAGGAATAAGCCATTTGAACATTGTTCAAAATCAAATCAATAGACGCGCGCTTTCGCGACTTCCTGTTACACACTTCCGTCCCATTTCACGAAATCACTCCCACAAATTGCAGGAAAGCGAGAGGAAAGATGTTAAAATATTTAACAAAATCTGCCATGCTGCAATGAGAGTGAAAAAAAAAACATAAAAAACAAAGTGACGTAGGGATACAAAGGATTTTCCGCTAGAATTTAAAGGCTACTTACCTTACAGAGAACTGGGAAATTGCAGCCAAAATATTTATAAGTAGATTCTTTGTGACCGATACTTAGTGATGTCAATTAATTAATAAGTGTTATTAGAGGTGATGATGTCTCTTTCTTCATCGTAGTAATACGGCAACGTAACTAGGTGATTTCTCTAGGTGCCGACTAGGTGTTAAGTGTTATGTTCCTATAGAGAGTAAGGTTTCCAGAGCTCGGATGGTGTCCGGGTAGGCAATGCGAGAGTTCCTACATACTTCAATATAGCAAATGCTTATTTGTCACAATTTACATGAATAAATAAATACCTAGATCGCCAACTGCTAAGATAGAAAATCCTGTAGAGATAGAAAATCTCCATATTTTTCTACCTTCATCATCATCAGCCTCTTACTGTCCCCACTACTGGAGCACAGGTCTTCCCTGTGGTTGGAAAAGGGAGATTCGGCAATGAACCACAAATGGAGGCCTGGTGCGGATTGGTGGGTGCTAACGCTGCAGATGCAGCCGGAACTAATGGCTTGACGTGCCTTCTGAAGCACGGAGCTTGAGATAGAAAATTTTTGATCACCCATCCAATGACCGACCACTGTGAAAGTTGCTTAAATTCAACGATTACAGCCGAAAGCGCTAACCACTTGCGCCATCGAGCTCCTCTTTTTATTGGCCAGGACATCTTATGTAATTAGATAGAGCATGGAATACATAGTTAAAATACTGTTACTCCTTCATTCTAAATTCAACAATACCAGTGTTAGGTACTACTCACCTTATCGACGTAACCATAATATTCTCTAGACGCGTTGCCCTGAGCGATGAGACCGATAAACATGCCCGGCTCATCTGAAATCGGAACAAGTAAATAAATAAGTACAAGTATTTACTGTATATTTTGCTTCTATCTATCATCATTATGATGGAAAATTAAACAGCCTTATCTACGAGTATTTCATGAATGGATATTTCTATTGGTATTTAATTTACATCTCATACTTATCATACTTATTAGATACGATTTGTCATTAAATATTGACGAATCTCATTTAGTGGTAAATTATTAGTGTGCACTATATCTTTAAACAAAGCCCACGGTCATGCGGATGTTTACCTAGCGATTGTGAAGTCAGCAGCGAGCGCGACTATGCATAGGTTTCATTACAGCGAAACTAAAGACATAGGCACGTATTAATAGATCGTTCCCAACATTGACTCTGAGACAATCTTGAGATACCTACTAATAAAAAACAGCAACTCAGGATCGTACTCAAGATCGCTCAGAGTTGAGAGCGATCTGCCATAGAGTGGACTGAGCGACATTCACATGATTACAATTCTCTAGAAAGAGACAGTGCCGGCAGTGCAGTTAGCGCAAGTCTCAACGATATTGAATACCCTAGATACACCAACACGAACAAAATCGTGCCTAAAACCTGTCCAAAAGGTACATTGAACGATCCACGGAGCTCCGTAAGATGATCGCTTAGTCAAAATCAATATAAGGCATTATTTAAATATTGAAAGTAACCTTTAATACATACTGTATAAGGTCTTAAATAAAACGCATGCGTCAAGGACTTCTGACAGTTCGAAATGCAAGCTCGTAAAATCTTACGAGTTATTGCTATATGCGGAAGAATTTAGACCTTAGTTCTTTGACTCTACGCGCAATTCTGAACGCGCTGTTAGTAATATAGCAGGCACGGACCGCGAGGAAAAAAGACGGCTATATGGCGACGTAAAACCGATCATGCATTTAAATATTTTTTATTAAATCAGTTTATAGTAAGTATTAGATTAAAATTTACTTCAAATGCATTAAATTAACAAACATTGACTAGATGCCTGTCGAAAAGACGATACTTTTCGTACTCTAAGTATTTTTTTCGCGGAGCTCTGTGGCATCTTGACTTTATAACGGTCCGCGCGTGACTGTGAACCAAGAAGTGCTTGAGTGGAGTTCAAGCACTTCTTGATTGGGACACATTTTGAGCGTTCGCGGTGTACCTATCTAGGGTATTTAATATCGTTGGCAAGTCTCAACACAGTAAATTCAAATGTACGTACGGAGTTTTACTCATAGACATAAGAATGGACACTCTTCTGTGTATTCGCAGCCTTAAGTTTCAATCGCAATACTAGGGTAATGGGCATACTCACTGGGCATGCAGCGGATGCATAACCCGTCGGCTCCGCGTACGAGGTTGCCTTGCTCGTCTGAGCGCACCAGCGCAATGGGGTGCAGGCACGTTGGCACCAGCTTCGGCAGGAAACCGACCGCACCGACCGTATTGTCCACGTTTACTGCACAAATATTCATTTATCCCAGTAAAATCTTTTTTAGTTTTTGACATAATGCCAAAGATGTGAGTGCGATCATAAAGATATTGTAGTTTTCATATACCTATTAACAATATATATGCTGTTCAACCTGTTAAAGAAGTGTTCCATTTAATGATTGGAGTGCGTGAAAATATGAGAGATAATTAATATAAAACGAGGGTGAGATTAATGAGTATTAAATTAAGGAGATCGTTATGTCAATATGTAGGTACCCAGTTATAGGTACCTACCTTAAATCTAGGCACAATCCTTACACTGTTCTGCGACTCCCTATTACGCGATAACTTGGTGCACGAAGAATGGCTTAGTAAACTGGTCTTAAGTAAAACTTTTTCTGGTTTCGTAATAAAATATGTAGTATTCACACAATTGCGTCGTTCAAATATATTTAGCGATATTACATATTCAAATTTGATTGTATTCGATTCGTCAATGTACAAAGTTCTCATTATCATCGAGTTTACACAGTTAATTGGAACCACGAAACACAGAATTGGAACACGTCATTTACATACACACATAAAAGTACAATACTTACACATCCATTAAGTTGTTAGTTTAATGGGAAACAATACTATTGCTGGGTCATGCATTATCAAAGGAATTCAGTTAATTTAGGTGGAAGATATCGATGACGAAAGAACTTAGATTAGGCCCTATATAAAGACAATCTCTTAACGGAGATCAGAAAATATTTTTGCACAAATTAAACCACACATAGAATTTGCGTTGTGTTTTTTCATACTCTAACTCCCTTTTTCATAATCAAGGAATAAGCTTAGACTACTTATGCCTTGTTTTGTTCATATCACTCAAGTGCCATTTGTCATTCAATGAACAGAGACAAAACATAGAGTAACTAATCCAAGCATAGTCTTTGTTTATTAAATAAATAAATAGGCAGTAAAACCAAAAGAATGAAATGTACCCCAAGCATGAACTATGACAGAGTCTTAACGCCATCGTCGCAGTTTCTTGCCAGACGTAAGAATAAACTACCTCCATGTTCCAAAGAAATTTGACCTTGTTTGGGATACAGTGCTCTTAGCATAAATCAATATCGAACTCGAATAAGTAGTTGAATTCGATCTCGATACGCGTCAAATGTCGTTTTGTATGGTTTGAACAGCGCCACAATAGACATAACGGGAATGAAAAATCTTCCATACAAAACTTCTTCACATTTGTAGAGTATCGAGATCGAATTCGATATTGGTTCGTGCTAAGGGTAAAGAACTCCTTTGCCATTTATTATAAAAAAAATCGCAGTCCTCTAGAAGCAAAATGTTTATAATAAATGCGTATTTAAATAAACAATCGGTTCTTTACTCACTGATATTTGCGTTGCCCTCCGTAGCTCCGTAGATTTCATTTATCTGCGGTATTTTGAACCTAAACAAGAATTTTGCACCTGTTAATAGATTACAGTATTTGTCCATTCAATTTTATCTCAAGGTTAAAACTAATGTACCTACCACAGTAGTTTGTTTTTAACAGAATGAAAATTACTTATATGTAGGTACTTTAGGGTAAGCTGTTTTGTGCCTATTGCCCATTTATTAAAATTTTAAGTCTCATTAAAATTGGTGCTGGTACTCCTTTGCTATGCATATTGCAACAACTACTTAGACACAAATCGTAATAGATAATGCAAGCGTATGTACTTCGCGTGTCAAAAGGGAGTTCAACGGTCTTATTTATTTATTTAAACTTTATTGCCACAATTACAAAAATGAACAAAAGGCGGACTTAACGCTAAAAGCATTCTCTGCCAGTCAACCTTTAGGCTTAATGAAATCCACGAATGCGGCTATAGGCACGGTAATAATATCATACAGTATTCTATCTTCATACAAACGGTCGGAAAGCGAGTCATACCTACGCCACTCGAGTTCGATGTGCTCTCGGCGGGCACCCAGTCGCGAATGGGCCGCCGCGCCGCGACGACGACCGAACGGTCTGAATTGTTTTTTATGCAGTAAGCCGTGCTTAAACGTGCGTTTTGTATTGTAAATATTTGATTTAATTAAGTAGATACCTACATAATTTAGTATGGAAAAGAACAAACGACGATCAATATCGTACAACAGCACAATTGCTGTTTTTGGTTGCTTGAACTCTTCAATAACACACCCAGAGATATCATTCTTCAAATTACCTGAAATATTGGAAAGGTGTCTTACCTTTATAGAATATTTTTTATATACCTATCTACTAGTACGTTATTTGTTTCTAATATTTAGGTATTTCGGTTTATCCATCGGGCAAAATATCTGGAATAATATATAAATAAGTGGTTAGGATGAAAAAAGAGACAAACGAGTAATCTACCTACACTCGCGTTAAAAACAAAACTACATAAAATACTGTAGGCTGGCGGCCCTACCGCGTGCCAACGCAGCGCTCGGTCGTAGGCATTTATTTTCAAGGACAGGGCGGAGTCACAATACTGTATAGATAATATTACCGTGCTATAGGTCTTCCTTTTATGCTACCTAATTTATTCACGTCACATGAGCTAGGAGTTCAATAGCGCAGTGATTAGCGCGTCTGTCGTCGTGGAAGTTAAGCAATATTCGCAATAACAAGTAACAAGATGGGTGATCAAAATTTTATTAACTCGAGCTTTTTTGTATGTAAACACTGTGTAATTAATAGAAATAGACCCAAGTATATTTTTTCTAGAAATGTATGTAAACAGCCATTAAATACTCGTATTTATAATACAAATATTTGCCACATAGGCATTCGAACCCATCTTAGGACCTCTTGGTTGGCGACACTATGAAAACCAGTGTACATTTCCATTCGTACTATGGAGGTCGTCCCTCTTTATAGCACTCTTTTATTCTTACCAACCGATGATTAAATAGATCTAACAGATCGACGATCTGCTGCCAAATGGCCGGCCGCATGCCCCTCCCGACTTCGATGCGCACGCAGTGTTGCGCGTCCGTGGCCCGCGGCGGCAGCGCCAGCGAGTAGCGGCACATCTCGCCGATGTACTGCACCACTTGACCATTAGACATATCTCACCTGTCAACGATCTGCTGCCAGATGGCCGGCCGCATGCCGTTCCCGACCATGATGCGCACGCGGTGTTGCGCGTCCGTGGCCCGCGGCGGCTGCGCCAGCAAGTAGCGGCACATCTCGCCGATGTACTGGGCCACCTGAATATATAATTATTTCGTAGTAAGTACTAAGTAAAGTTGCTAGTTTTTCGGTATATATTCTAATAACTATTGGGTAGTTATACACCCCGTCAAATTTCTGGAGCAGCAACCGTAGACAATGAAGCCTACGTACTAGCAATTTGACATACAAAAACGTCTTCTGCGTAAGTTTATTTGTCTTTGGTTTTGCTTGAGAAGTTTGCTACTTATAGGTATTTGATGTATTCCTGCAATGATGATAGACAATCTGCATCTGCACTCTACTCATACTTGACACACGACGGGTGTAGATTCAACTACTAAATCATATAGGTACCTATAAACTGTATAGTATGAATAATGTCGATAGAAATCACCAATCCGTACCGGCTCTTTTATACATTGTTGAAGACTCTGTAAAGTGCGATTCTAACTATATGCGGTTGTAAACATGGCAGCGAGTGCAACTTTGCGCAGGTTCAAGTCAGGGGCACTCATTAACATTTTGTTAATGTATGAATCTCACAATACCCTAGCAGGAGAGATAAATATACAGAGTAATTCAAACTTAATGGCAGCTGTGAAGCTAGCGCAAGTCGCGGCGCAGTAAACGAAACGTAGGGATATGTAGTTGTTTAAATGTCTGGAAAATGCATTACGCCCCCCGTGTCAGCAAAACGATATGCGGACTCCACCCTACCCATTTCACCCAGCTTTGCGGAGCTCGATGAAATAAGCAGAGCCCTACCCAGTAACCACCAGACAATACTCCTGCACTGGTCACCCGACACGCACTATGAGGACCGCTCTCCCCCTTTTTTTTTTTATTACGCAGGTAAAAAATGCTATTTACAGACGACGGCGCCTTTAAGAGGCACACCGCCGAACGGACCTCACACCTGGCTTCCGCAAGTCTTACGGGCGCCCCAGTGGCTGTCCACCGAGGACCCCGCAACTCTTACGGGCGCTTTACGGCATAATATCCGCTAAAAAAGTCCTGCGAATACCCTCTAAGCTGCTTAGCGCGAAGCCGCGGGATCCCCGTTTAGGGATTCCTCCGCGTCTCCGCACCTAGCAGCCTCCCGGCCTAGCCGGGGCTCCACGGCAGGGGTCTCCCGGGGTATCACGGGGACCCCGCAGACGTGCGCAGGTAGGCCCGCGCGTGGGGGTTGAGTACGCGGCCTAATGCCCACCGTACCGCCCCCCGTCCGCTGCGGAGGGCTACTTGGGCGTGCCCGTGTAGCTCCCTCCGCCGCCCCCCCTCTTTGCAGGACAGAACTACAAGGGGGGGCTGCCGTCACGAGGTCCGTCGGTGGCCGGCACAGCCAACGCCATGCCGGTCAGCGAGGGACCCCCCGGGTAGGGTCATGGGACGGGCGCAGCCAGGGCGCGTCGCCGTCCTCTCCTACCCGTCCTCCTTCGGCGGGAGGGAGCGGCCAGAGGATCATCCTCCCGCTCCCTCTCGGCCGCCTCCTTCTGCGAGAACGTTATCTCGCAGAAGGAGGCGGCCGCCTCCCATGCCCTGTCACTGCGGAGCATGGCCTCCACCATGCTCCGCAGCGAGAGGGCTCCGCATCCCAGCGCCGCAATCAGCTCACGGCGCTGGTGTCGCCAGGCCGGGCACTCCAATAAGGTGTGCTCGGCCGTGTCGTCCGGGGCGCCGCAATGATGACATTGCGGCGTCTCCTCCCGACGTGCGACACGGTGCAGATAGTGACCGAAGCATCCATGCCCGGTCAAGATCTGCACCATGCGGAACGTGAGGCCGCCGCGCCGGCGACCCAACCATTCCTCCAACACCGGACGAATGGCTTCAATCGTCCGGTGGCCGGCGCTAGCATGGGCGAGTGCCTCATCCCATCGCCGCAAAGCTTCGCTCTGGGCGATGGAACGAACCTGCCTCGGACCGCTCTCCCCCTAACGGCTGTCGGGAGTGTGGATGTGTATCGTAGCACCCAATTTGTAACTGGCCACTTACCCGCTAGTGATTGCCCGTTGGCGGGCCCACCCCGATTCACTGAACTGAAACCTGGAGTTTTAACTCTATGCTAACTTCACAATCGCCATAAAGTTTGAATCGCACTGCAATAACGTTGAAGATAACAAACGCACTCACCGTGCATTCGTATTTCAAGCAGTCCGACCAGTAGTTGGAAGCGGAAAAGCGTGGTCGGATGACGGACGTAATGCCGTCGATCAGCGCGGCGCCCGTGCCCACCAGCCCGCCCGCCGTGTGGTACAACGGCAGCGCGTTGTATATCCGGTCCGAAGACTTTAAGCCGAGCATGTGCACCGTGGCTACTACGATGAGGAGGTACCTGAACGGAGGAGTGTACGTCAACATTACCTTAACAAGATATTATTTAAATGTAATGAGGTTTTACTAGAAAAAAATAGACGTGGTTCTGGCAGCAACAACTAAAACATATAAAGGTTAGATGCTTAAATAAAAAGTATAAAAAACTACAATTGCTATTTATTTTCTTCTTTCAAATGTTAAATACTTGTAAAGGTATCGTTTGACATTGTTGGCTACCTACATGAGAAGAGATGCGCTGTCTTGCTGCCTTAGAAATACTAGAAGAAATTTGACACGGTCATTAAGGTAGCATAATCGGTGAGTGCATCCGCTCGGATAGCGAAGGGTGTGGGTTCGAGTCCCGTCTGCAGCCCGCATGGATTTTTTCTAGTAAAATTTTCTTTAGATTTAAACATCCAGCGGTTAAATGCTTATTATATGAATATTAAGATTATTATTTCTTTAGAGAGGGTATATAGTGCGTAACATATGAACCGTAGCGAATACTACTAGGAAGTACCTAAAGGAAGAATTGTATATTAACAAGTTATTACGTCCTTATAGAGTGGTACTGGCCACTACAACTAGGAGAGACCTGAACGGAGAATAGTATGTTACAAGATATTAAGTTTTTAGAGTTGAGCCGAGCATGTGCCCCGTCGTCACTAACATTAGAAGGTACTATATGGGGTATGTATATTCACAAGATATTTCGCCTTTATAGGGTGATGTACTGAGGGACAGAAATAGGTAGGAGAAATATGGTCAGGTGTAGCAAAAATTGCTATGCCTTCATCATGTGCCTATTATATGTCGTCACTGGCGTAGGTCATACTAGTGGAGGCAATAGGAAAAACGGACCTTGACCCAATGCAATGCGGTTTGGTGTGCGGTAACGACTGCAGATGCAGCCGGTACCAACTACTTATTGTGGTTGCCGAAGCACTGAGTATTTCGCAATGGGGACTGTGTCCAAGCAAGGGGAATTGTTCAAGCTTTCAATTAGTGAAAAGTTTCAGAAATAAGTATTAACTTTGAATTTCGTATATCTATGTTTGGAGTCGCACTTTTGGTTAGTATTTTGTGTAGACAACGTGCAGCTGAAAAAGTTTCATGAGCAGCATCATCAGCCTATTCATTGCCCCACTGCTGGGGCATAGGCCTTTCCTTTAGATGGATGGAATAGGGAGATTGGGCCATGACCCAACATGGTGGCCCAGTGCGGATTGGTAGGTGTTAGCTACTGCAGATGCAGCCGGGACCAAAGGTTTAACGTCCCTTCCGAAGCACGTAGGGGCACGAGATAGTAAATTTTTGGTCTCCCATCCAATAACCGACCATTGCGTTAATTGATCGCAGCCGAACGCACTTACCACTAACGCCATCGATCTCCTCAAAGAGAAAAAGTTTACTCACTTGGAATTAGGCAGCACCGCAGCCTTGGGCATGCCAGTAGTGCCTGAGGTGTAGATGTACAATAGCGTGTCCTTGTAGTGCAGGGTCTCGGTAACGACAGGGGGGAGGGGCGGGTGCTTCTCCATCTCTGCGCCAAGGTCAAGGACCCCCGGGGCGCAAGTGCCATAAAGCTGGAATAGCTTCAGGTCTTCAGGCAACTGCTGTCGGATCTCTTCCACCGCTATGGAAAATGATTTTACCGATTATGACCGTATTGAGGTTTTCACACTTATCTAAGCTACGATCTAGAATTCGTCTGCTAGATACGAAGAAACTATTAATTATATAATATGAAACCAAAGATAAATATAAAATGCGTATTGCGTCTGCGCATTATGTTGGGGACAAGTTGCGAGACGTTGGGGAACGTAGCAGCGTTATGTAGTTTGAGCGTTGCATGTTTTCATGTTGCGAAACATTTTGTCCCCTAATGTATTCGAGGCTTTACTTAGGCCTCTTTATTTTGTTTCTATGTATGACTCTGGTCGTGTGTGAGCTTGTCGAGGTGACTGGTGAAGATTTTCGAAAAATAAGAAAAATATATGTTTTGTACGTATAAGACATATATTTTTTTCGGTGTTCATTTCTTTAACAATCGCATCGCTGTTTTTGATAGCGATAGTATAGAAGACTAAGAAGCCCACTCTGAATTAGCCGATTTGTTTAGTATAGAATAAACAAAGCAGTAGTCAAATCCGACTCAGTATTTCAGTTTAACAAATGTTATAACAGATTATGTTGACATGACGGCATTATGAATGCAAAATTTATGTCGTGGATCGTTTGAAGTGGATCAGTTTCATACACATTAGTAGTAGTACGTTTATTGTGTTGCAGCGCTATACTAGATGCATGAAACCGATACGCATCTAACACGCCACACGTCACGACACAACAAGACACAAAAGTCTGTTCATTATATAAAAATGAATGTGTTTCTTTATTTAACTTACCGCTAGCCAGTTGGTCCGAGAAGACTATAGCCTTCGGCTTGGCGACTTGAACGCAGTGCAGCAGCGGCTTGTGACGCAGATTGCTGTTGATCAGCGCAGAGACGGCGCCCACCTTGGCCATGCCCAGCCACGTCCACACATACTCAGCGCAGTTTGGTATGAACACGCAGACCACGTCGCCGCGCTTCAAGTCCAGGTGCTCCTGCATAACCCTTGACACTTGATTCGACTTCTCATCCATCTGTCAAGGAACAAACACGTTAAAAGAGGCTGATCATAGGAGACCCAAATAGCAAAATCAGTATTTAAATCATTCATAAAGTTCTAGGGAGATCAGTCTAGTAGACTAGTTTTATTTTCACCTATAAGAAACGATCGCAGTGAAATAACACAATTTTTTGATTGTGTCTTTTTGTTGGTGAGTAAGATTCCATACCATAGAACCATAGAGGTGGGATGGATGAATTTGCTGCGCTGATAACTGATTTAAATCGTTGGCTAGACTTGATAAAAATATTTATCTAGTCTGGTGACAACAGGCGTTTCGTCGTCGCGTACCTACTCTTCAATAAAGCTCAGTTGTTTCTTGAATAATGTGTTTATAATTATTATTGCGAATATAATTATTATTAAATGAAACAGTATTTGCGAAAGAAAGTTGAGTGCGTACAAAAAATTTAATTGCGTAGTGAGTCAAGTGTAAGTGTAAGAGGGATATTTTTAGATCACGTGGGTCAAAGCTGCTCCTGCTGGTAGAAAGAAATGGTGCGACGTTCTGGTGCAGGCAGAACTTCTTCATCATGAGTTAACAACAGGGCTTAGCTTAGTAGGTACAAGTAGATAGACTGTTGTTACCAGACAACAACGAAAACCCAATGCATCCCAATATTTCAAACGGCCTAGCTGGAACAGTCAAAAGAAGGGATATTTTTATTATAGATGTTTTATAATAAAAATATCGGCAGTTCGGCACCATTTTTTGAAGTGAAAACTTCTTTAGCGCCGTTGTGATTTGAAACTTGATGAAACGAAAATTTAACAGTATGTGACAAGGTATCCGTAATTTTGTAACTATCAACAAGAGACACAAAGTCACACGGTAACGAAGTTAGGGTCGAGTATAGAATATTTAATATTGCCCAGTATTTTACAATACCTGAATAGTTAAGTATTAAACGTTTGGTAGGTGACTAAGTTGTTTATTAATCAACCTTGGTTTTTATCAACAACCCTTACCTTCCCAATGTTTGCAATTTATTTTACAGTATTTTTTTATAAATAAATATTTCGAAAAAACCTAAGATAAGAAAATCATAACAAAAGAAATAAAATATGGGGTTAAGAAAACCGTGGGCGGTTTTGCTCAGACCAAGAATTTTCTTGGTCTGAGCAAAGACTTACTGGATCTAAAAGGAATTGCAATTCAGTTGGAACAGTTACGTGAATCGTAAAGCGTTTAACGATCAGTATCAGCTATTTCGGTATCCGTTTAAGAAACTTAAAAATAGACTACACGTTTATTCATTGAAGGTTCATTTTTATGTTTCTTTAGCTTTCAAAAATATTTGAGCGAAATCCAATAACGCGATCTTTGAAAAAAAAACAAACAGAGTATGTATCCCAACTCTAACAATTGTTACTAATCCAGATTGACCTATTTTCGATAAAGAATCGTTCGTTAAATAATTTTTTGCAAATTTACTTAATAAAATAATTTGATACCTATCTTAAGATGATATAATTTTAATTAATAATCTGATATCATAATTGTTGGCGACTAAGCCATGGGTATCGTTACGATATAAATTGCTAATGAAAATTCGTTTTCGTTGGTATTATCTTTTATCAATTAGAGTGGCATATAAATTATTGGTAGGTACAAGTTGGATGTAAGGTTCATTAATATGCATCTCTTACTCACTACGGACGGATACTGCTGTCATTGTCCATTTAAAATTCTATCACGTCCGTTACCTTAAAAAAAGTCTTTGAATTTGACTATTAGGTTCGTCTACAATTATCTTCTGACGCATGCGAGCCTACGACATTTTTTTATTACTCAAATTTTTTCTATATAGTCAATGAATAAAAACGATTCAGACATATGTGTTTCTAAACATTGAGTATCAGTATTACCCTCCTTCTGGAGCAGTCGGGTTAAAAGAATAAGAGCTAAGATCACGACAGCAGATGCAGCCGGGACCAAAGGCTTAACGTGCCACGGAGAAGCTCGAGATATTTATTTTTTCTGGCCACCCATCCAATAACCGACCATTGCGAAAGTTGCTCAACTTCACCGATCGCATTCCGAACGCTGTAATCACCTGCGCCATCAAACTCCTCCGCCGCCTAACTAAAAATATTGTAATGTATTAAAATTTTGTCGAAGTCCAAGTGCGGTCGCCGACGACGATGAAGCACGGCGCATCGAGCGTGTGGTGCTCGCGCTGCGAGAACATCCCCCTTTAGCACCACAGCTGTGCGCGACTGTCGCGTTCCACCGTCCCCAGCATTTAGACGTGGTGGTTTTTAGGTGTACGAAGCTTCTCCTTCACGTGATAATATGACAAAAGCCACTCGCCTCCCTGAAGGTCCAGGTGCGGTCGCCGACGACGATGAAGCACGGTGCGTCGGGCGTGCGGCGCGCGCGTTTTGAGAACAGCTGCGCGACGGTCGCGTTCCGCCGGCCCCAGTTCTTCGACCGCACCATGCCGTTTGCGTACCGCCATAAGAACCTGCAAAGACACGAACTTTAAATAAACTGTCATCGAAGGAGGCGAAGAACGAAGACAGGGAGCTACAGAAATTACTATCAAATGGTGGCCAGCAGTACCACTACGTAGTGAGCACGGGACGGCTGGGCTGGCGACGTAGGCATTTTGTGTAGGACCGCCCCAGAAAGGAGAGGGACCATAGGAACAAAGGAGACAGATAAAGAATAATTTCTAAGAGTCAAGTGAGACCGTACGGTAGAGTTCATTCCACGGTTATCTCCCGCTGCTTCGGCCTGCATAACCAGGAAGTTTCGTCAGGCCACTATAATTTGTCATATAAACATCAGAAACAGCGCCTTAACTGCATCTGATGCCGTAGCGTAAACAACACAGAAATATAGTGGTAAGTAGGTTACTTTATGTACCACACGATGAAGTTCACGACACATTGAATTTTAAAAGTATTAGTCTGCCCTCAGAGGGTCTAGCTAGGCTTTAGACAAGTAGCTTCAGCGAACTTTAAAGTTTAAAAATATTAAGTGAAGATAAATAAAAATTCATAAAATATATAAGAGTCAACAAGTGAAATTTAATGTATAGGTAGGTCGATCGATAGGAATCGATATGCAAGATCTTGCTTTTCGATGCGATTCGTTAAAATTTATACGATAAGGTCATTAAATTACGATGATGATGATTAATGGCGATTATAAATGGCGAATATGATAAGTATGAAAAATATAGTTTCAGATTTGCCGATGTAAAAGATTATCCTCACGTCGTAGAAATAAAATAAAGTTTCGTTTATTAAAGAAATTTCCACTGGGGTAAACGCAGCACAGTAAGGATTTTTTCAAAAATACATAAGTCCAAAGGTCCCAAAACCAGTAGGTACCTAAAAGTATAATGTAAAATATAACAAAAATGCGTTTATAAGTTTTCTAACTTAATTTATCTACGTAAAAATTTAAAAAAGAACATCATTATGTACCGGACGTTTAGTTTATCTTAATAGTTATAATATTAATAGTATCATGATATATGATCAAAACAATATTTGGATAATCAAATTATAATACACCACTAAAAAGATTAGAATTCATGACATTGGTCTAACTACTAAACCTTTATCGAGCGTGGCCTACCTACACGTTGTATGCTTCTTGAAAGTTCATAACTGTATAAAATATTAGTTTTCAAACAAAAACGAACTGCCATATTTTTCTCCTTTGCTGTTAAAATGTCTCTATCATCAGATAGAAAGAGGATGGCTCTATCATCAGACTCTAGATATCATTTAGGACAAGAGTACTTTGGTCGACTTTTGTTTAACTTATACACAAGGCGACACCGGCGGCGGTTTGCGCCAAAAGAAATGGTATTGCGTCGTTCAATTACAAATATATATACCTTCCTTAAGCTCCATGTTATAATAATATCGCATTGTTGTTGTTGTCATAATGCATTATGTAATATCAGCTTAGTCATAAAGTTTAAGTTATCACGTCAATTTTCTGTATGAGCAGATAATGCGAAAGTTACTTCACTTGCACGATCGCAGAACAGACGGAACGAACCTGAGAAATTTATAGCTGTGAAACGAACGCTTTAACCACTGCGCCAACGAGCTTATACACCTTTGGCAGGGATATATTAAGTAGTGTGAATTCCTTAAATATATGCTTAAATTAAAATGGGGGCTTAAAGAAGGCCAGAGTTCAGACCCTTTGATTTATTTATACATTAAGATAGAGGAATCCAAATAAACCACGCAGATAGACGGCTCAAGTTAAGCGCTGTGTGCAGCAAAGCAGTCAATGTGTGCCGACGAGCGTATCACTACCATATGTAGTATATAATTTTTGTGCCGCTTCCGTGCAGTTAATACGGTAAATAAAGTGTATATAATCAATGGTCAGACTATATATACTTTTGTAGCGTAAATTAAATTTGTAAGACGTAGAACAGATATGGAGATTTGTACGAGAAACCAATTAATTTACGCAGGCGAAGTGGCCAACACCCGCCAGAAAGTTGATATTAATAAGAATTTTCATTTACAAAGTGTATAATGTGTCGTAGAAAAATAATAATGTCCTTGGTGAAACCCGTCGCCGCTAATGAAACCACATGAACATTTTCCCAGATACAAGGCTCAGTTAAATATTCATTAGAGAACGATTCCACTCGGTCTTCGTGTGGAACAAAAGGTTATGGCGACAGACAGACGACAATTTGACTAAGAATAAAATACTAGTACGTATGTAGATATTACTTCACTATTGATTCTGAGAAAACATAAGGTTTTAAAGCAGCAATGAAAGAGCTTTTCAGACAACTCAGGGAAGCAGTTAGTGATTAATTGCAAATGTTATCCAAAGGTGCTGTTTGTTAATTTAACAGGTTATAATAATAGCTGAACTTATTAAAAATAAATACTACAACTGATGTTCTAAAAGATACGGGTCGTTATTTTTTTTAAAGTCTACTTCCGAAATCTACCTATTACTACCACGGAATACAGAAATTACTACGGATGAGGAAGCTTAGTTAAATAATTTCCACCGTCTCAATTAGCTTACCTACAGATCCCTAAATATTCTTGATACTGGTTGTCTATGGATTCGCGTTTATATGAAAGCTACAAGCCCGTTATATAAGACAGGTGCATAATTGGCGAAGCCTTTGAAAGTAGTAGTGAAGACACGACACGTGTCATGTGGCCGCTGACGTCCTATCCACTGACATAATCCTATAATGGAATAATGAATGCTATAATACAACCTTGAGAGTAAAAATGTGTACCTACCTACATGAGAATACCCTTACAGCTGCCCTGCTGGGGCAACAGCTAGAATAAAATTATTTTTAGACTTAACTTTAACAATAACTGATCACATCGATATTAAACAAAGCAGTTAATCCTGCTTCCTGGATCTGGATGACAAAAATAATTAAAAAATTACAGATATAATTTTTATTTTTGAGGTTCCGTACCTCAAAAGCAAAAAACGGAACCCTTATAGGATCACTTTGTTGTCCGTCCGTCTGTCAAGCCCGTTTTTCTCAGGACCGCGTGGAGGTATCAAACTGAAATTCATATCTAATACTCATACAGGTCTACTGTCGCTTGGAACTGTGAAAAAATAAAACTTCTAAGCCAAAGCAATCAAAAGATACGTTTATGCCGCAAATTTTCGAAACTCGCACGGGAATCAAAACATACAGGGTATTTGACATGAACTTTGGATTTTGAAATTTGGTACGAAATAACGTCTTATAGTACAGATAAAGGAAAAATTGCGAAAGCCGTAAATTTTTAGTGCGGGTTCGAGTCCCGTCTCAGGATCAGGCAGGTCCGCGTGGAATTTTTTCTAGTGATATTTTCTTTAGATAAAAAATTACAGTTCTATAACTTATAGATCCTAACAGTACGACAAACAAAGCTGCAGGATTGTATTAAGGCGTTGGTAACTTCACCATTTTTTTTAAGGACGCTGTTAGTTAAAGCGCTATCGTTTATAGATTAAGTACTTATCCGTTATGTAGGTATACAATGGCAGGTCGCCCAATATAGGATCGATAAAAACACACCAGCTGCCTAGTCGCTGCGACAAACAGTTCAATAGGAAACAAACTACGTAAACTGGAATGTAATATTATAGACACGGAATAAACACTTCAGATGAGGAAAATGTAAGTACAGTTACCTGTCTGACAAAGTAATTAAAGTAATGGATACCTTACGTGACATAAAACGTTTCAGACTTTTTGTCAGTTGAAAACTTTGATTTGAGCTATATAAAATCGTTATTAACAAATTTCGAAACATACTTTTTAGGTAAATTTTTGTTTGCTGTTAATACGCTTTGAAATTGTCTTTTTAATTGTTACATTTGTAACTTTTCCCATGAAATCTTTTCTAGAATCATAGAAATGAAACAAACCAACAAGGAATTACGAAAGTTATCACCGGATCGTGTTACTTCCATACTTCGTACAAAATGATATCAATTGAAATGAAAAAAAAGGTAATTTTATGTAAAAGAAAAAACACGAAAACACATCGTTTTTCTTTTCTGTAGCATGCTTTTCACGATTACAGAATTCAAAATTATACAAGGAAGTTTCCGTAAAAATTAACAAAAAGGTTTTATTCAATATTATAGTTTCCTTTTTATTTTCAAACCTACCAGTTTTTTATTGAAAATTACCAACTAAGCTTTTAACAACTGGTTCACTCATGACGTACGGGAACATCCTCGAAATTCCCATTTTGTATATTTTTTGATATTTTTTTACAGCAACGTGTGTTATCTGATACCTCAATAAAACAATTATTATTCAAAGATTGCTTACTTGAAAAGATAAACAAAAATAAAGTTTAGAAAAAAAAACAACGGTCCTACGTTTATTCGTTTTTTTTCAACATGGTGAAAAAAAAAGTTCTTTTTTTTCATTTTACATCATTAGACATCACATCACTTAGCTTTCTCGAGTGACATTGCAAAACATTTAATCCTTTTTCTAAAAGCCTGCAACGTTATTCCAATTTTTACGCATATTAATATTTAAGCTTTTGAATTTTACATGAAGCTGTGTTTTTTAATGCTAGCGAAGGTGCGTAGGGTCTCAAATGACTCCTTATATAATCGATATTCCTTATATATCGATATTTATCTTTCTAATTATTATAAAAGACAGATAGCTAAGTCGCTATCATATTATTTTTATATAACAGCCAAAAACTTGGCTAAACAAATTGCTTTTATTGAGCAATGTTCCATTGACTTGACAGTCAGTAATTCTTCTACTGACAAATTACAAAATAATAACTATTGTTTAAATTAAATAATGAGACAACAGACAACTCGTCTTGCTTAATAATAAATAATTATTGTAATAACTTGCATAAAAATATTAATTTAATTAAGAAAAATCCCAAACACTTAAAAGAAAATGTAAACTTGATCAACCTGATGCATATAAATATTCAAGGAATGATGGGTAAGGACTTAGAA